TTTATGAAAACATTCTGTCTGGAAAGTAATACAAGAATATAATTAATTCCTATCCATTTTCATTGATGATTTTATTCCTTCGAATATCGTTTTCTCTAAGGATTTGTGAGGATCTATAGTTTAATTTCGAAGATTTTCATGAGTATTACCTAACCAAATCTTCCAATTTTGTAACCCATTGTATACGATCGAGATCCTCAAGTATCGAATGATCGTGCCAATCTTATTATGTAGTATTCAATTATGCTAATCCTGAATAATCCTGTTAGTAATTATTATAACATTATCAGTTAGGATTTCAACTACTTTTGAAGATCCTTATTGGATTAGATAATGCAATACAAGTGGGCGATCTGCCAAGGAGGTGCCTCTCCCACGAGGACTTTTCATATTTAGATGTAGATACATCAAGAAAACTAGGAAAATTTCACGTAATTAACAAGTTAGCGAAGCGCGAACCCACGACTAACCAGCGTGCAATGAGTTTTTTTCCACTGTGCCACTGGCAACCCGATACAAGTTCAAGAGGTTTGTTTACAGGAATCTGACAAAACCGACTTGAACAGTGTAGGATAGCGACAAGTTATAAGATAGAAATGTGTAATTTAAAATCATTAAAAGTATTAAATTTTGATTTAATTTTAAAAATGTCTTTCAAAAATACGCTTAGAACAAATTACTCTGTTAGATAATTTGTAATTTAATTAAAAGAAACGATAGAGCGAGTGAAGCAATCCATTAAACGAGGCGAAATTGGATGAGGAAACGCATTTGAAAATTAGTTATGTTGAATAAAACACCTGTGAACTGAAGTGAGGAAGATTTAAATAAAGCAACTAGTCGTACAATATAAATATTTACTAAGAGACGTTGCCCTTTTGTAAATGATATTGCGAAATTCTGCGGATGCTACGGGTTATTTTTGTCAGTTATTTATACTTTCTCCCATCATTTTAAAAAGTTCGGTTGTTTTTTTTAAATTACTTCATGAATTGTTTTTGTTTTTAATTTATATTTTGTACTCGTTACGTTTCTTTGTCACGCGTGTATTCAGTATAACATATCATTGTTCGTGGTAATTTCAATTAAAATCGTGTGTTAATTATTATAAACTAATAAAAAGTTTAATTTTCGGGATTGAGACGAGTTTTTTAATAAACAAATAAAATTTGTAAATGATAAAAATGAGTAAAATCTTCGTTAAGTGAGGCTCCACTCGAGATATGACACAATGCTCTTTCTAACTCCCCACTTCCTCGATCTTTAACTACCAAAATTTAACAGCATCAACCCCCTTAATACACAAACTTCCCTGCTAAATTTTAGAAATTTTCGACAAACGACACAGGAGTTAATAAGCTTCAAATTGGGTGAACAAATTTGTGCCTCCCCTCCACACACACACATTCTCAAACACATAGACACGCTCTAAAACATAATGTTAGATTTCCATAATCTCCATACATACATAGAAAACCCCTCAATTTTTTTTTGGCATTTCTCCACATTTCAAGATTCTCTTGAGTCTAAAAATGTAAAAATCTCAGGGGTCATTCTTTGACCATTGCCATACTTCTCCTCTGTTATGTAAAACAGCCGGAAAAGTAAAAAAAATTAAGAGAGTTAATACATTTCTACACCTCTTTACAAGAAATATAACAACAAATTCCTTCTGAAAATAGTTTTGTTTTTATCATTGAGATTTTAAAATTTGTTTACAAAATTTTACTTGTTGTTTGTATCATTTACCATTGAAAGAAAAAACATAGGCACAACGGCTCTAAAGGAAATCCTTTAAAAGGATTTCTTATAAAAATTTCTCACAGAATAAACAAAGAATACTTCTTTTATTTCTAGAAATAAATTACATTTTTGATTTTTATATAAATCGTACAACTGCTTAAGTCTTCTTAGACACTGTAAATCTTCAGTTAATCTTTGGCATTAAATTAAATTGTTTGGAAAGTTTCTTTCACAGAAATTGTATGTAAATTTTTGATCTCGAAATGTTTTGTAAAAATATAATCTTTACTCTCAATTTCCACATAAATATACTTTTTCTTCACAATTTTTATTTTTCCTGCGGTTATAACAGGGAAAATATGGGTCATAAATTGACATTTCAAGGTCCTTCGAGTCCAAAAACTTTTAATTTTTTGAACTTGAAGGACCTTGAAATGTCGAGAAATACAAAAAAAATTTACGGGATTTTTCTGTATGTATGGGTGTTAGTATGTGTGTATGGGGGGCATGAATTTATTCACCCAATTTGAAGCTTAATAACTCCTGTGTTTTTTGTCGAAAATTTCTCAAATTTAGCACGGAGGTTTCAGTATTAAGGTGGTTGATACTGTTAAATTTTGGGGGTGAAAGGTCAAGGGGTTGGGGAGATAGAGACGGTCACGTATCGTATCAGGAGTAGGGTCGGAATTAAAATTTTACTCATTAGTATTTACAACTTTTTTTTTTTTTTTTTTTATGAAACTCGTCTCTGCCCTCAAAATTAAGGTTTTTGCTATTTTATAATAATTAATAATATAAAAGGTGTTTTAATAAAACATCTCATAACAGATGGCGCCACAAACAATTTTAAGTTTTTTGCTTGGAGGATCACGTAACTTATTGCTGATTTTTTTTGGTAAATATAAAGTTTTTGATAGTTTTATTTTTCATATTTTTATTTACGATTAAAATAAAGTAGCAATATTTTGTAAACAGAAGAGCAATTATTTCTTGTCATTTCTTTAAAAATCAGGGCAAGTGCTAACGATCTGTTTAAAAACATTTGAATCTTTCGGGACGAAGTGACTTATCATGTCGTAGAAAGACATTTTTTATTTTTTTGTTCCAAATAAAGTTGGATCCAGTCCCAAATTTCTATAGTAATAATAATACTTTTTTTGTTTATCAATAAGTAACAAACGTGTAGATTAATTATGCTACCCAACTGCATAATTTACCTGCTCAGCAGTTCATACACTACCCAACTACATACTTTACCTGCTCAGCAGCTCATACACTACCCAACTGCATACTTTACCTGCTCAGCAGTTCGTACACTACCCAACTACATACTTTACCTTAGCGGTTTATATACTACGTAGCTACATTATCTTAGCAGCTCATACGCATACTTTATCTTTTCAGCAGTTATTATTCTACGAGTTATATACATTACTTTTCTTACATTTCGCAGTATTTTATTTATGTCCATTATTACAACAATAATTTATCATTCGTTGTCTTAAGTTTTATTGGCGTTTTCATTCAAAGAATCGCCACCCTGCTTGAGAATTTGTACAGTAGAGCGTCGTTTATCCGAATCAATTGGGGACTGCAGTTGTTCGGATAACTTATTTTTCGGATAACCGAATTATGTACGAAAAAATATATTAACCTATCCCGTGTTGAAATTTTTCTCCGTTGCGTGTCGCTTCGCGTTCAATTTTCGTCGATGTTAAGCCTAACGTAAACTTTTTAAAATAATAATCGTGGCTATTGTATCGTTAAAAATGATTTCTTTATGTTTTACAAACGAAATATATACATTGAAAAATATAAAAACAAATAAAAATTATACTTTAGGCCGACTGGAATTTTTTCGGATAACCGACTTTCGGATAAACGACGCTCTACTGTATAAAGATGACAGAATCGTTACAAACTTGTAGGGTGGGTCGAATGTAATTGTTTTTAAATTGCTGTTTAGAAAGGGAAGTTTTTGAAATACAGTACCAAATTATGAAAACAATAAGACGTGCTTAGTGTCACAATGAAAATATCAATATACCTTTATAGATTTCCTACAAATGAAAAGATGAAGAAGAAAAGACAAATCATTTTACGAATTGATAGAAATACGTTTGATTTCATTAAACACTTTACAGACAATTGCTTTATAATTGCACTGAATACTTTATAGAAAACATAAACACACAGAATTCAGCTGTTTTGATAATACAAAACAATTTTCAATTTATTTTACTCTGAAATTCTTTCTTGCTTCATATTTAATAGTTAATTAAAAGTGAGTTTTTTTTATATGATTAATTATGTACATAATCAGCAGAAAGTACTCTTACGAGTGACGAAACTTTATAATTACAACTTTGTAAAATCCTATACATCTGTTTATTTTGCCCATTGCCTCTTTAAATCTGTTCAGTTTGATTCTAAACTTTTCAATGGAAATACTAGTTTACAGTTTAATATAATGCCTTAACAATAGAAAACACTATATACAATAGGAGTAGATTGATGGAATTAGGTAATTTAGAAGCACCCAAAGTAAGTAAGTACTCGAGAAAAGTACATACTTCCTAATAGGTACCCTTCTTATGCTGGGTTGTCTTATTCAGTTAATCCCATTCCTATGGGAAATGCCTTCTATTTAAGTGTTAGACACGCGAAGAAAACCTCGAAAATTTTACGTGACTAACTCATTGGACACGCAAGAACCTGCAGGGTTCAGTGTTAAAGATGTTCATGATGTCAGTTAAATTTTAGCAGCTCGAACTTTTAAAGTTTTATTATACCCGTAATAAGTAATTTATATTAAGTGTACGCAGTTATATTATAGTATACGCTAACCCAATTATTATTTGGAGGCCATTTTTAGAAGTATAACGTGAAATTTGTCGAAACGTGTAATAATGGAGCCGTGTGAAATATTTGTAAGAGTCACGAGAACTCCTTTATAATTTAATATTTTATTACAAAGAACTTACAATCAATATTACATTGATTGCAATGAAGGTAAAATTACCAAAAATCGATTCTTTATTCTACTACAGAAGTTCTTTTTCTTTCGATATTTTTAATAAAAGAAGTTTGAATTTTCAAGTTGATCAATTTGAAAATCGTAGTTAATTGTTAGTTAGAAATGAATTACAATTAAAACAACCACTTGGCATTATTTACATTAATAAATGTCACGGATTTAATTTACGTTTGTGACTTCTAAACCTTCTATCGACGTTACTTTTAAGGGTAAATGGGTCGTTTATTGGTTTCGAAAGTGTGTTTTTGGAGCTCTTAATTGAATGATTGGAGGATAAACCATTTACAGGAGTATTAGAAAAATTCTTCTGGACATTCTCTTTGAATAATAATAGCACTGAAGAATATGGTACATATAAGAAGTTTACAGAAATTATGGGGCATACCGCGTGTCCTAGACGAGAAAACAGAAAAATTGAGGCACATATCGGAAGCAATGCTGAAAATCCTGAGCCACATAGTGGAGAGAAATTCACAAAGATCTGAGGCACATATTGGAGAGAAGTTCACAAAGTTCTGAGGCACATATTGGAGAGAAGTTCACAAAGTTCTGAGGCACATATTGGAGAGAAATTCACAAATATCTGAGGCACATATTAGAGAGAAATTCACAAAGATCTGAGGCACATATTGGCGAGAAAAGGATGAAAATCCGAAGCACATATTAAAGAGAAATCTTCAGACTAGAGACACATGTTAGAAATTCACAGAGGTCTGAGGCACAGTTGAAAATAAATTCAGAAAACTTTGAGGCACGTATTGAAATCGAGATGCACATCGTAAAGAAAAAAATGCAAAAGAATAACAGACATAACTTAAAAATCTGAAGTACATTTTGATAAAATAGCACAATACGACACACATCTCAGTAGAAAAATACAAAACGTTAGGACACAGAAAAAAATGCGAAACAATTCAATACGAGAATATCTCCGATAGAGTATCATTAAAAATAAATAAATTAGCAAATAATATGTTTTATAAACAATTCGCGGACTTAAATGACTTTTTTTGGAGGTAACCGAACTTTAATGCACCTGGCGAAGAATTCGAAACGACCAATGACATTCGCTCCCACGAGAAATTTTAGCCATTAGATTGGTGGGTGCCAAATTCTGTCGCAAGAGCATATTGTCACGAAGCTCGCCAGTTATTCTAAAGGAGTTATAAATATAGTTTGTAAAGGTCTGACCTTCATTCGGCGAATGCGATGAAACTGTTTAGCGCAGCTTCAATTCAATGAATGTTGTTTGTGTTAGCGTTGCTCCGTTTCGTGGCGACCTTCATTACTTAATTCCTCATTTAACCTAATTATTTCAAGTGGACGCAACGTAAGTATAATGGTACTTGTAGCTTTTTTTTTTCACAAATATCTGTATAAAATGCGTTTGCTCTACTATATTTGGATAATTAATTATAACTTCCTTGATCTATTTCGCGTGTTATAGACATTTTAAAACGAATTTCATGCCCTACATCCTCCATTTTTCATTTCCAGAAATTGTCTGCTTCTTAATTAGCATTTGTAGAATCGCCATTCTACAAATGCTAATTAATTTATAACATAACTAAGCCCCTCGAATCCTCGGATAGAGGATAAGCCTCATATTTTGAGTTTTTCTTATACACAAGAGCACTAGTATGAGGCATTATTATATTAAATTAATCTATATCTTGTTCTGCCTTAGTTGGGGAGTGGATTCAGGGATGTGAGCCAGGGATACTGACAATTGTAAGACTTTTTGAAGGGTCCCCAACAATGATTGAATGGATAAAACCCCACTAAATACAGCGACTAACGGGTCAAAGTGAAGTTTTCCGGGTTTTTATCGCGTGTCTAACACCTAAAGATGAGCTCATTTGCCATAGAAAGTCTTCCTGTGAAAGCATGGGCGATATGCCAAGGAGCATCCCCCTTGACATATCTCCTATGTATTGCATTCATCAAACCAAACCTTTTGAAGGCTTTCACAGGATTTATAAGCTATCGACAATGACGTTTAATATGCCCAAAAATTTGGCAAACGAAGGAGCAATGCTCAACTGCGATAAGACCAGATTAAAATTAAGATATTACACATAGAAACAGATAACAATAAATAGTATTAGAGCTACAGAAGGGAGTAGAAATAAGATAAGACCGCATTCCCGTTACACTAGAGGACTTCTACTAGATAAAAGTCACGTATGCTTTTGAATTTGAACAACCCTCATTCATCATCTACATTACACGATTAGCATACCATATAATGCTAATTATATTAAGTAGATAAATGAATTTTGCATTAAAATTAATACACTCTGTTACAAGCCCTTAGTGTATAATATATAAGTATATATTGGCCTTAATTTGCGTCATTACTAAATATGCAAATTCCTCTCTTCCTTACCCATTAATGAGCTTTAATTGTACAAGGACATAATTACCATAATTTATCCTAAATTATTCTATAAATCTATGGAATATACTGAAAAACCATCGAGTCTAGTTGATTTTCAATTCGAATTTTGTTCCGATAAGGTGAAATTTGAGTGTGAATGGCTCCCTGTTAAAATACCTTACGTGTCTAATCTAATTTAATGGCGTAACAGCTGCAATACAGGGTGATGTCTTCTGAAAGACTGCCGTTTTGTCACTTGTGAGTGAAGGGGATTTCGTTTCTCTCATTTTGCCATTCCGTTTTGTGTTGTTTAACACCAGAAAGTCGTTTACAAGTTTGTTTTGGAGACATGACAACGATAACAATCCGAGTGAGGTTAATAACACGACATGCAAACTCTGTTTAAAGTATAAACAAAACACGTTAACAGATCTGTTGTTTGTAATCGCTTCTTTTCTGTGTATTACGGGATCTCTCAGAAGAGAAGGAATCATCTACACCACAAACTTGAATTGGAAATTTCTATATTAAATTGGAAGCTAGAAAGATGTTGCTTCGAAAGTATAGAAGGACCCCACATCAATTATACAATAACAGGTGGTTTGCTTCATTGCGTAAGTGCTACGATGAAAAACAAATTAGTCGGATATTCTCATAAGAGGAAACTAAGAGATAAGCCGCGAGGCATTTTCTAAAAAGACAAATAACATTTTCATTACTCCTGTCTGTCATAGACTAACTCGTGTAAATAACTCGAGACGGAATTTCTACAAAGAATTTTGTTAATTAATTTTATATAGTGAATTCCTTATATTCTTCGTAACACCTGTTGAAATTGGCACCTGTGTTTAGAGGCACCTGGTACGTGGCACGCGTGTGAAGGCATGTGATACGTGGCACCTGTGTGAAGGCACTTGGTACTTATTTACGTGGTACATGTGTGTAAAGGCACGTGGTATGTAACAGGCACGTGTGTGAAGGCATTTGGTACGTGGCACCTGTGTGTAAAAGCACATGATATATGGCAGCTGTATGTAGAAGCACATGGTACAGTACGTTGTACCCGTGTTGGAAAATTTAAATAATGTTTACAGGATTTAGGGTCTTTACGAAGACATCCTTACCGGGGATTTCTACCAAATTTTTTTATTATTGTATATACACTATGAGAAGAAGCAAAGTTTATTGAATTTCACACACAAATTCACTTGTATTTTCTTGAAATATAATTCACTAACACTACGTGACATACCCACTAAATTTAGATTAAAGTTATTAAGCAATCTCAGGTCTAAATCGAGTTCATAAGGGAGAGTTTGTTTTGCTCTCGTTCGCATCACGTGATAACCAAATACGATACTAGAAGCGTTATTATGTAAAGTGGAAAGCAATCGAAAGTTAAAGAATAAACCAGAAACATATTGTTTATTTTCAATTTCTTCGCGGAGAGATTAAATTTCAAGTTATAATTTAATCAAAATTGAGTCACGTATTGTTTTCTTGTAGACTGGACACAACTGAATCGATCCTCTTCCAACTTGTTACGCTGTTTCTAGTTGATAAATGCTAAAGTATTTTTAACAATTGTGGAATTTTAATGAAGTTGTTACGCTTCAGAAGATGTTTTAGAAAGTTAAGAGTTTATATTTATATAATTATCATTCGAGACACGGGGTAAGGAGTCACGCTGCAAGGCTATAAGTGGATGGTAACAATATATTTGCATAGTCGCCAGCCAGACTGTTTGAATTACTTATCAGTAATGTTTTATGTAGTAACTGTATGTAAAATTTATCTATTTTTATGGTTGAAATGTTAAAGTAGAACGTATATACTTAGTTGTTAGAATAAATAACCCATAAAAGTTGGGTAACTCGCGATTTTCTCGCCAAACACTAACGTTTCGTGAATAGAATTGCAATGTTGTATTTAAACATTATGGATTTGTTTGAATGATCCGTAAGAAATGAAGGATTTTCAAGCAATTGACTGACGTTACACCCCCTTATAAATGGTCATAATCGTGAACGATTGTCAAACGAGAAGCCTTAGGTTTGTTTGAACTATTCGTGTTGGGATGGTGATGGGCTTATTAGAGAATTATCCCCATAAACTACTAATTGTGTTGGTAGAAAATGTGATTTTCCAGTAATAACACAGGATCTTCTCACAAATCGTCGCCATCTTGAATGGTTTTATAGGTGGTATCGTAGGAAAGCTTATCCCATTTGTTGGGGAACTAGTCATACATAAACGATGCATCGTAGCATTTTTGAAGCATTATCTGAGTGGTTTATGAGGGTGATCGTAATTTATCTGTTGGAAAATCATGGATAATTCATAAAGGAATTATGAGATTTGTTGGAAAACCCTAAATCCCTAAACTACCCCTTTGGCGTGATACACACGCGAAAAGAAGCTGCGAAACGTTAGCTAAATACTGTAGTTGTGTGGAGCGAACAATGGAAACAGGGAAATTTTCTAAAACGAATTACTCTATATCCTCCATTAAGAAAATAATGAAAAAAAAAGTAATTAATTAGAGGTAAAATTCGGAATTCGAATACTGTTTTCCGCTCGTAACCCATGAACCGACGGTCACGTGATAGTCCGGATGTAATTTCAGCGCGAGCCGACCAGGGACGATTGCTAAGCGTTACTAATTTAAATCGGTTCGTTCCATTATTCGACACCCAAGGATGGCCAAGGTCAATCGAGTAATTAAGCTGCCTTTGCAAATGATGCTAGGCAACCGGTACACGTGACCGACCGGGATGTTGCGATTAATAATTCGTACCGATAGTCACGTGGCACACAGTAGCTTCGTTACTAATGCCGAAGATCGGTTCGTTAGAAGGTTACGCTGTTATGTGTGTAGGTTGAACGAGTGACAGAGCGCAGGCTAAGGTTAATAAGATCAACATCGTCCCGAGTTCGTTAATTACTTCTAATACTAAACATTTTAATATTAAAATATTATAAGGTAGTGTAATCTCTAAACACGTGGCTCACCCAGTGGCGAGTTATAGCGTCATAGGGCCTTAAGGAAATTTGAATTAGGAGGCCCCGTGTACAGTGCTGACTTCAGATATTTTTCTTCTGGGGAATGTTTTGGGGGATATATTTTCTTATAAAGGATTGATTGGGCCCCCACCAACAGGGGCATTTTTCCGTAGGATATGCGCTACTGGGCTCATTCCCATTGTGTACCCTCATACCCATTCCCTCATACCCATTCCCCATACCTCATTCCCATTGTGTGGGCTCATACCCTAGCATTTATGACTAGTTAAGAAAGTTAAGAAAAAACGGCACATTAAAATAATTTAGAACGTTTAAGATGATTCATTGTTTACTTTTAATCTTTTTATTTACTCGAACACGGGTGGCCCCTTTATACGGATCCCCATCGGATCCGTATAATACAGTATTAATTACAAAGTCTATAAAATCAATTTACCTAATTAAAAATGCATAAAAGGAGGAAAATAAATGTATAAAGGGACCAACGAGGCTCTAACCAGAGCCTTGTGCACACGTCTGACATCGTTCCAATGTATTGCATATCACTATATTAAACGTATAATATCAGTTTAACCGAGCCTGTGATTGCAAATTTTATTAATAAATCATAATTAACGTGTTGCAAAGTGGCGAATCAAATTACGTTTTTTTACAAAAAAGTGAAAGTATCGATCACTTTCGTCCTTGAAAACTCTTTAACAAATGTCGTTTCTCACATCAATCAAGCATCAATAAGAGCGAAACGTGGAAAAGGAAATAGTCGTTCCTGTAGAAAATTTAAGATTATTAACAATATTTTATACAGAATTTATTACAATTCAAGAAATATTTATATAAATAACCAACGTTTTATGTGTACAAACGTTTACATATTGATACAATGCATCGTCTAAGCGTTTATGTCAATAAAATGCAAATTTATTTCCGGATTAGTTTATAAATTAATTTATGTTTTCTTTTCGGATTAGTTTAGAAATTTAGGTTATTTTAATATTAAATTTAGAAAAATTAAATAAAAAACATACTTAGAATTATTATTTTCATTTTTCCGACGGTGTACCTGACGTTGAAATAATACCGTAACACTTTAATAAGGCACGTTATAAAGGTGTTTGATATAATGGGCAAGTTAACTGTGATGAAATAGATATTTTGAGCATGTTTGATCTTATGGAATATATTATGGATGTATTTGATCACATGGTACATGTTATAGAGGCATTTGATCATTTGGGACATGTTATGGAAGTATTTGATCACATGGTACATGTTATGGAAGCATTTGATCACATGGTACATGTTATAGAGGCATTTGATCATTTGGGACATGTTATGGAAGTATTTGATCACATGGTACATGTTATGGAAGCATTTGATCACATGGTACATGTTATAGAGGCATTTGATCATTTGGGACATGTTATGGAAGCATTTGATCACATGGGACTTGTTATGGAAGCATTTGATCATGTAGAACATATTATGGAAACATTTTACCATAAGAGACATGTTTGGAGACATTTGATCATATAACACATGTTATAGGGGCATCTGATCACATGGAGCATGTTATGGAGGGGTCTGATCATATTGGACAAGTTATGGAGGTATCTGATTACATCAAGCATGTTATGGAAACATTTAATTAAGTGGAACCTGTTATCAATATTATAGAGGCATCTGATTACACTCTATATGTTATCGAACGATCTAATTACATGTAACTCGTTGTGAGTCATTTGATCACACAAAACAGGTCATTCAGGCATTTGATCTCTAGAGCTCATTACGGAGGCATTAGAAGAGAGAATTTGATATAAAATTTACTAAAAATGTTACTAAAAACACAAACAAGCGCACCAAAAAAAAGGCAAAACAGTTAATCTAATTACCAGGAAACGGCAAACAACACAGTAGAAAAGAGTAAAATTATTTAAAAAGAAATTGCAATTACATTAAATCATCATCGTTATTAACTTTTTGTATGTATTTTAAAAGACTTTAAAATCTCGCGTGCAGTTTTTTTTACACTTAAACAAATTGCATCAATCAAGATTTATCTAAAACGGAAACGAATTTCGCCACGTGTCTATCAAGGCAATAAACTGACACGCGATTCCAGCGACCAAGATATGCGATTTTATCGCAATCGAGTCGCGACCATAAATTAATTTCGAAGGAAGAGAAAAAAAAAATTTAATTAAACTTTTAAAAAAAGAAAACGGTTAGAATTTTCATCCAGTAAAATCGAAAGAGAAATTAAAATTATCGCTTGTTTACACTAACCTCGTCGCTTTCTAATTTATTTCTGGTCGGAAAAACGAGAGAAAAATTAGCGCGACTCGCAAAAATCTATTACCACAGCCGAAGCCAGGACATTCCAAGAAATGATGGAATTCTCTCGCTTCAGCGATTTCAACGTTTCTTTCTTTTTTTCTTTCTTTAAAAATGGAAGGCGATGAAGCGAATTAGTTAATTATTGAGAAATTTTCTCTCAACAGGTAGCGAGATGTTGCGCTTCAAGGTGTTGATCTTTACCTTGCTAACAGCTGCACAAGTGTCGGCTAATCTTACATCCTTCCATCTCAAAGGTGAGTTTTTTTCTCTTACTTTTTAACGTAAGTCGTGGGTTCGGAAACAATTCGGTATTGTTTCTGTGTTTCTAAATCTTAGATTTTCTGTTTTGTGCGTACTTTTTTGGGCTAAGGTGACACAACACAAGAGGGAGGGATACCGCACACTAGGAGTTTCTATGAGAAACTGGCTCCTAATTTAAATGATTAACACTTTTCCATGTGTCCAGTCTAACCTTTGGTGAGGTGCGAACCCGAAACTACTAGTGTTTAGATGCTTTTATTCCATACTGATGGGCCAATATTTTTAGAATTATTTTTCATAAATAGTTTTAGAGGAAGAGGGAGGGAGAGAGTGAGAAGTGAAAGTGAAAAGTGAAGTACAGGAGTGAGAGAAGAGAGAGAAAGTGAAAAGTGAGAAAGTGAACGTGAGAGCAGAAGGAGAGAAGGGAGAGGAAGAGTGAAAAGTGAGAAAGAGAACGTGAGAGAAGAGAGAGAGAGAAGTGAAGAAAAGAGAGACAATAGGAAGTGGGAAAGAGGAAGTGAGAGGTGAGGGAGGAGGGAAAAAAGGAGTGAAGAAAAGCGAGAAGGAGTGAAGAAAAGCGAGACAGTAGGAAGTGAGAAAGAGGAAGTGAGAGATTAGGGAGGAGGGAGTGAAAAGAGAGGGAAGAATGACGAATGAGAAAAGGGGAAGGGAGAGAGAAAGAGAGTGAGGTTGATGTAAGAAAAGAGAGGAAGATGAGGAGAGAGGGAAAAAAGAGGAGGATAAAAGGGAAATAAGTAAGAGAATAGCTCTTTATTCTATTCTATATTTCTTTATTCCGTTTTCTCTTCACTCTGGGAAAATAGGAGGAGGTAGGAGAGAGAAAGAATGGCGAAAAGAAGGACAATTAAGGAAGAGAGAAATGCCAAAAATATTCCTAAATTTATATTTTTCTAAGCGTTGGCGTTAATAAAGTAGGAAACAAATTAGGAGTAGAAACTTTCTAGTTTGTAAATTTGGCGAGTGTCATTGCCAGGAAGCAAGAAAGCAAACATTTCTTGTTTTCCACGCTCCGCTTGCACTTTAAATATATCTCCGAGAATTTTTCTTAACATTTTTACTTCATATTTTAGTCATTTTAATTCTCTCTTATCTTAAAAAATAGCTTTCGTTTTATCTGTTTGCGTCGGTAGATTTTGAGGTGCGAACTGTAAAACTGTACACTGTTTTATCTCTTTTTATAGACTCTTATCGCTTTATTAGCTCTGTTGATCTCTATGAAATGTTGTTTGCCGGCGATAATAAATACTTCGTTTTAATTATCTTCTGCGTATTGTGTAAATCATCCAACATTTAGTTGTAGTAATTGCACTTTGTAATCGTACTTTACTTGAAATATCAGTTTGAAACTTCAAACAAGTACGGTTTTAAAGCGTGATTACGTCCAATTTTATTAATTTTCTTACTAATAGAGAAATAAATTTAGCTAGAATTTATTTTAGAGTGAACGGCGAGAGGTTTGGAATTGATTTTCTTCCCGTCTATTCGAGTTAAAGATGATTACACGAGAGAAGGGAAGAGAAGAGAGAAGTAACTGGGAAATATGGAGTGAGAGAAATGATAGGAAAGAATAATGGGAGGCGAGAGTCAAAAAATAGATAAAGAAAACAGTGAGAATGATAGAGAGGAAAAAGGAGAAATAGTAGATAGAGATAAAGAAAAATAAAGGGGGAAAAGCAGAGAAAGATCAAGGAAGGAAAGAAGAAAGTAGAAGAAGAAAAACGAAAAGCAAAATAGATATTTAGAGAGAGTGAGAGAGAGAGAGAAAGAGAGGAGACAAAGAGACACAAGACAGAGAAAAATAGAGGAAAGGTTAGAGAAGAAAGACGGAGAAAACAGAGAAGAAAACAGAGAAAGACAGAGAAAAAGTGAGAGAAGAAAACAGAGAAAGAGAGAGAAAAGGAAGGAGAAGAAAGACAGTTCAAAGACAGAAAAGGAGAGATGAATAGAGAGAAAGACAGAAAAAAGAGAGTAAACAAAGAAAGACAGAGAAAAAGAGAGAGAAGAAAACAGAGAAAGACAGAAAAAAGATGGGAGAAAACAGAGAAAGAGAGAAAAAAAAAACAGAGAAAGATAGAGAAAAAGAGGGAAGAGAAGGAAAGAGAGAGAGACAAGATATAAATAAATTGCTGTAAACTCGAATACATGTATACCGATCCTTCACAACCGATTGTTTAACATCTGTGTAGAAAAAGAAAAAGAATTGATTTTAGCCGGATACTTAGATGAACAGAGAAAGGAAATGGTAGCCAATACTACTTTTCTACTTTCTAGATGTGTAAGTTCGTAATTTAATTCAGAAAAAAAAAGACTAACATTACCAGTACTTCTTCACTCATTTCCTAGATTAAAACGAGGATAAAACTAAAAGCATCAAAATTTCTTTTGACTTTATATGCAAAATTACAAATTTTTTATTATAGAGAAATTGTATTAAAAGTTTTCTAATTTCTTTCATAAGAAATTTTTAAGTGTAAAGTAAAATTTTTGTAATGTTGTAAGAGTTAAACAAATCGTGACGTTTTTGCATCTATGAGAGGAAGAGAAGAAGAAAAGAAAGAGAAGAAAAAAGGAAAAAATCCAGAAACAAGTTGCTTAACTTTACCGGCAACATTTGGTAGCGTCATCTGTTATGATATTTTAATTAAAAACTTTATATATTTTTAATTATTATAAAATAGAAAAAAGCTTAATTTTGAGGGTAGAGATGAGTTTTATAAAAGATTGTAAATGTTAATAACGAGTAAAATCTTCATTAATTTCGATCCCTCTCCAGATACGACACAAGACCCTTTCTAACTCTCCACTCTCTCGACCTTTAACCACTAAAATTTAACATCATCGACTCCCTTAACACAGAAACCTCCGTGATAAATTTCAGAAATTTTCGACAAAAGGTACACGAGTTATTAAGCTGCAAAGTGGGTGAACAAAATCGTGCTCCACTCAAACACACAGACACGTACTAAAATATCCATACATAAAGAGAAAACCCTCGAATTTGTTTTTTATTTCTTGACATTTCAAGATCTCCTGAGTTCAAAAATGTAAAAATCTTGGGGGTCATTTTTTGACCGATTACCATACTTTTCCTCTGTTATATATAACACTGGGAAAGTAAAAAAAAAGGGGGGGGGGAGAAAGAGAGAGGCAGTGAAAGAAAAGATAGGACAAGGGAGAGAGAAGAAAGAGAAAGACAAAGGAAGAGTAAGATAGAAAGGGTGAAATAAAGAGGACAATAGAGGAAAAGAAAGACGGGGGAGAGAGAAGGAAGTAAAAGAGAGATGAAAGAAAGGGAAAGATAGGAAAGGTGAGAAGGAAAGAGAGCTAGAGACAATTATAAGAGGACAATAGAGAGAAGGGAAGAAAGAGGGGGAGAAAAGACAGAAAAGGAGAGATGATAGACAGGAAAGCAGGAAGAGAGAGAGAGAGAGATGAAGAAAGAGATAGAAAAGAGAAAGAGGAGAAGAAAGAGAAGGCAAGAGAGAGGTAAGGTAAAGAAAGTGGGAAAAGAAAAAAGACACGAGAAAAGAGAAAGACAAGGAAAATAACACAAGAAAGAGTTAAGAAGAGGGAGAGAAATCATTTTTTACTTTCTTCCTCTTTTCTTATCTTTCCTATCGGAAAGATAAGAAAAGCGAGAGAGGGAGAGAAGGAAATCAAGATTTCACAGTAATAAAAATTGCTGCGAAATATGAAATTCTAAACCGAGAAGACGGATTATTATTTTTCGTGTCGTAATTCATAATTTTAAATTAATTTCGAAGTTATTTATTACAGAAATTTGAGTGGCTACACGAAAAAAAAAAAAAGATTTTTATTAATTAAAAATATTATTGAAACGTTCTTTTTTGTATTAATAATTTAAGTAATTTTAAAGTAATTCTATTCTTAAAATTATTTTACGTATTATCTTGATATTTTATCATTTATTTATTGTTTCTAGCTTTATTGTTTCTAGCTTTAAGAGCGTTGAACAAGTGTTCTTAGGGATAATGAATAGAACTGCAGCTTTCCTAAATCACTATAAACCACACTATTTTATTATGTTCAATCCTATGTTTCCTTCTGAATCACTCATCCTCAAATCTTTATCCCATCCAACTTCTATTGAACACAGAGTAGTATAATATAATAGTGTTCAAAGGCACAATAATCCACAATGGGCTTGCTGAAAAGAGGTCCTCTTAGTGCCCACACGGAAGAAAGATTTAAACAAAAGGAGCGTTGGTATCTTCATGGGGGCCCAGGCATATTTGAATTAGGGGGCCCCATGTACAGTGTTGACTTGAAATATTTCTCTTTGGGAAAATTTTTTGGTGGGAATTCCTCGGTACTGCGCTCTGCATCTGTGCCACACCGGCATTCTAGAGTACCCAAATATGGCCCAAATTTAATTACATTTTTTGAAAGTGGTTAAGTCAACGAGCGAGAATTCGGGATTATTTTTCAACCTATAGACTGCGATCTACTAAAATAACTCTGTATCTTGCAGTATGTGAGAAAGTTGAGAACCTTCTATTATACATAAAATCACTGGCAATAAATGTAATTATAAAGTGAAAATATTAATAAAAAATTTAATATATATTTTATTAAATTCAATAGAATAAATAACATTTTAAAAATTGCTTTTAATCATTTACATTGGTGTATTTGAGTGTAACTATGGTAATAACACACACAACAGAAGCAATAATAGCGTGAATAACTCGTAAAATATTATATTTTATAAGATTTTAACTTATAAAATAATTTTTAAAACATAAATTTACTAAAATTTTAAGAAAATTGTAATTTTATTTAATTTTTTTAAAAGAATACGAAGAAATCTAAATATTTACTTTCAATCTGTAGATCGCGAACGACATTTGTAATGCTCGAGTTATTAAACACGTGAGAAGGTTGGGAAGTCCTCGCGTCTTTACAAACTAAGCATTTTTATGTTTTCGTTTAACTATTTTATACATTGTTAACGTTTAAAGTCATATAAAAATAAATTTTTATAATTAATTTTTAAGAAATTATTATTAAAATTTGTAATTTTGTTAATTAATAATCCTTTCTAAATTCGAAGATGAATGCTTTGTTTACTTATCGAAATTATGAATAAATTACGCAGTTATATAATTAAATATTTAAATTATCTCTAACAATTTATTAAAATTTTTATTATCTGACAGTAATTTAATTTTAATTTTATTGTAATTTTAAACGGGAGCATCGCTTCATCTACGGACTGTAAGAGAGAAGAGCATGAGATTAATGTGAAAATATAAGGAAATTATTGAGAATTTTAATCTTATTTGATTAAAAAATGATTTAAAATAATATAAAATTCGATTTTTCAATATTTATTTTTATTATTTTGTATAAAATATGCAAAAAATCAATGCTTTTTTAAGCGAAAAAGAGAGTACTTGAGTCCACAAAAGCGCAAAATTCGTGTCAAAAAAAGAGAAAATGATTGAAATTTTGCATTTTGTATGATTAAAAAGGAATTAAAATATTGTAAAATATAATTCTACATCATTTATTTTTATAATTTCGTATAAAAAATTGCATTTTTTATGCCCAGTTTCGTGGTACCCATTTTCTATATTAACATTAAGAAATCTGTAGTTAAATTACAGTAAAAACCTGTCTAAAACGGAACCTTAATAAACGGAAACCTGCCGAAACGGGAAACATTTTTACAAACGAAGCGATTTTCCGTTAAAAAACCTGTTTAATGCAGAAACCTGCCAAACCGGAACCGTAGAGCTCACTTTACACAGATTTTACCGTACTCGACCCCCCTATAACACTGTTGATTATTCCGTTTTATATGAATTCCATGTTGTACGAGTCACTTAGATTTTACAAATACGTGAGCCATTCACAGCCTGGCATACGTATTTGTAAAATCTAAGTGACTCGTACAACATGGAATTCATATAAAACGGAATAATCAACAGTGTTATAGGGGGNCAGCAATTGAACGTTTTTCTGTGTGTTATGACGCACTTTTTACAGCAATTGAACGTTTTTCTGTGTGTTATGACGCACTTTTTACAGCAATTGAACGTTTTTCTGTGTGTTATGACGCACTTTTTACAGCAATTGAACGTTTTTCTGTGTGTTATGACGCACTTTTTACAGCAATTGAACGTTTTTCTGTGTGTTATGACGCACTTTTTACAGCAATTGAACGTTTTTCTGTGTGTTATGACGCACTTTTTACAGCAATTGAACGTTTTTCTGTGTGTTATGACGCACTTTTTACAGCAATTGAACGTTTTTCTGTGTGTTATGACGCACTTTTTACAGCAATTGAACGTTTTTCTGTGTGTTATGACGCACTTTTTACAGCAATTGAACGTTTTTCTGTGTGTTATGACGCACTTTTTACAGCAATTGAACGTTTTTCTGTGTGTTATGACGCACTTTTTACAGCAATTGAACGTTTTTCTGTGTGTTATGACGCACTTTTTACAGCAATTGAACGTTTTTCTGTGTGTTATGACGCACTTTTTACAGCAATTGAACGTTTTTCTGTGTGTTATGACGCACTTTTTACAGCAATTGAACGTTTTTCTGTGTGTTATGACGCACTTTTTACAGCAATTGAACGTTTTTCTGTGTGTTATGACGCACTTTTTACAGCAATTGAACGTTTTTCTGTGTGTTATGACGCACTTTTTACAGCAATTGAACGTTTTTCTTTGTGTTATGACGCACTTTTTACAGCAATTAAACGTTTTTCTGTGTGTTATGACGCACTTTTTACAATAGTCGGACGTTTTTCTGTGTATTGTGACGCACTTTTTACAATAACTTGACGTTTTTTCGGAAATGGCAACGAATTTCTAATGTTTTTCTGTATTGTGTGACCTGCAATTAAATGATTTTTGACCAAATAATAATAAATTTTCATTCGTTTTTTTCACTATAAACATTATCACGTTTTTTTAGAGAAAATAATTAATTAAAAACCTGTAATAGAATTGCTTTCCTAAATTGGTTCACAGTTTAAAAACTATTTAAAATTTAAATAAGACAGGTGATAAGTTTCTTGTTTGTGTAGATAATTTAAGAGCACAAGTGAAATCAAGTGATGTCAATTCGTCCGAGACCAAGATCCAAGTGGGAAACGATGGAAACAGTAAACAGAAAAGTGGAGGTATTCACGTGGCCACATGGAGATGGGATTACGTCGAAGATCCTTTCATCTACACCACTTTTGTTATCATTGCTGGAATGTGTAAAATAGGTAAAGTAGAAAGTGATTTCAAATTTTATATGAAAAATTACATTTATTTTTGAATGGGAATTTCTTAAAATTTAGTTTTTTTTCGTTAGGTTTTCATCATGCGGATTTCCTTTCTTCTATAATTCCAGAATCGTGGTAAGTAATCTCTAATTTTCATTTCTGTTTTGTAGGGTCTTTAGAATCCAATAAACTTACAGAACTTGTATACAATCCTCATACTTTGCTTACATCTAAATCTGAAAGTCGAATTCTTCAAATGTTTATTGAAGGATCTTGATGTTATCTGAAGAATTTATCGTGATCCTTTGGTGTCCTTCCTATCAGAAATCAAGATTCTTCGTGTCAAGTGATTCTTTAGAATTCAATTCTTTGAATCGAAGAGCAACATTTGAAGAACTCTAACCTGCTCTCAATAATCTCTCTTGTGTATTCAAATATTGGATATAACCTATACAAATCCCGCTATCATTTAAGTTGTAATTAATGAAAATAGTAACAAAATTGTGTTTAATCAGTACTTCTCCCGTGGCCACCAACGATTTCAGACGATGCCTTGAGGGGTTCATCGTGGAGAAAGCCGATCAACTAATAACAGGAATTGAAGATTGCAGCAATATGGGCATTTTTCTTACTCATACCAGATTATTCTCGCCATATGATTAGACTCTCATGATCACAATGGAGTTCGTACAGATGTCTCGAACAAAGTGTATGGTGTGTTCTCGCATACGTTCTGATAATCTCCTTTATAAGAACAAGAAACACAGAGGTGATGCGAATTCCCGGTCACCCTGCGTGAAGTCACTGATGGACAACAAAAACGTGACATTTCATAGTCATAAAGGAATTTTATACCGATAGTAAAAGCGGTTATGCCGTATATTAAATTAATAATTTATGGCTACGAAATAAGGATTGTAGTAATGGGCACCGAAGAAAAATGATTTATTTATAATTAAATTATACAGAAATTTTATTTTAAAATGTTTATTATTGTACTTTGAAAATTGCATAATAATTTGACTCCAATAAAAATTATTAGATTAAAAAATGAGGCCAAAGAAAAGGGGGGAGACATCCGATGCTATTCTGTGCTTGTACAAGAAAACACATCAATTATGTCAAGTATATTTTGAAGAAATCATTAAAAATCGTGATTTAGCTGAATATTTTTCGAATGAATCGACAATCAATTCTTTTGTCGATTTTAAATTATTGTTTGTCTGTACGTTGCAATTAACATTCCATGTTTATTTGCCTTTCGTGTTTCGAAGGACGTTATTTGTCAATTGACAATAGACTCGTAAAGATTAACTTAAAACCGCAGTTGAAGGCAGATTCTTTAGAATCTTTCCGTTTAAATAATTTCATTTTTAATATTGAACAATGGCCTGTGAACAAGTGGTGATCTTTCAAGGTATTTAGGAACATGAAAGTTAAAAATGGCGACATTTCAGCACACGGTGAGCTTTGAACTTATACGATGGTTTTTAATTAATTAAAGGTCGAAAATTAATGGAAATTGTCTCAAAGTTTCGCCAGGAACACCGAAAGTCCACACACGAATAACTTTTTCTTGTCTATGATTTATGACCTGATGAATGACCTTTTGCCATCTCGTAAATGAGAACGGAATCGTATATTTTTCCAAATGCAAAAGCTTGTCAGGCGAATAAATCTCATTAGTTGGGTCATTATCGTTTTATCTCGAGCTGCAAATTGCATTCTTCGAGTTACCTCCGAGGAAATTCCGAAAGATGGAACCAAAAAAAAAAAAAAAAAAAAAAATTAAAAGATAAACACAATCTTCACACATGCTATTCACGTGGCCACATGGAGATGGGATTACGTCGAAGATCCTTTCATCTACACCACTTTTGTTATCATTGCTGGAATGTGTAAAATAGGTAAAGTAGAAAGTGATTTCAAATTTTATATGAAAAATTACATTTATTTTTGAATGGGAATTTCTTAAAATTTAGTTTTTTTTCGTTAGGTTTTCATCATGCGGATTTCCTTTCTTCTATAATTCCAGAATCGTGGNTTTTTTTTTTAAAAACGAAAAAATAAAGTTATTATCTTTAAATAAAATTTACACTCATTTTTTGTATTATAAACAATACAAAAATGAATTTAAGATAATACAATACAATACAATACAATACAATTGCATTTACCGTTTTTTTTTTTTCAAATAACGTACAAGTGGTGCCATCTGTTACAGACATTTAGAACCATTTATATTATTTACGATTTATTTTAAATACAGTATCAATAATAAAATTTGCTTATACTGAAAAGTACTATTGGGTTTTTTTTCCTTCACGCCAGTAATACCGAAATCACGCTCTACTAACGCCCGTGTGAAAGAATACTTACAAAATACAAGGATTTCAGTGGAAAGATGAAGTGTACGCGAGTAAGTGAGAGGCCTGGTAGCCTGTCTGAAAGTGGCCTAAATGATTTGGCTCGCCGAGTGGATAACACTACAATAGACCCCCCAAAACACTGTAGATAATTCCGTGTTATATGAATTCCATGTTGTACGAGAGATTTTACAAATACGTGTGCCGGGCTGTGAACGGCTCACGTATTTGTAAAATCTCTCGTACAACATGGAATTCGTATAACACGGAATTATCTACAGTGTTATAAGGGGAGTCTAATGTATTGAACACTTATCGCATCTTACTAACCACAAACTTTCTATTTATAAGAAACGACGTTTTCTTTGAAGTTTTTATCATAATAAATTAAAATCTGTAATAAAAATTTAGTTTTATATATTATAAATTTAGAAATTTGTTTGTCAGTTTATTAAATTTTCTTTATTGTTTTTAGCTTGCTTATTATGTTGGGAACGGCAGTAGGAACGATCGTTTAGTGAGTATGATTTTATATAATTAATTAGATTTTGGAAAGGAATTATTTAAATATTTATTTACTTAAAAATATTTAATAGTTTTACAGGATCCGAAGTAGTTCCAACTTTCAATTCGGATACTTTCTTCCTTTATTTACTTCCTCCGTAAGTATAAATTCATCCATTATTCTCATTGATTTCGGTGTGTCTTTTGGTGGGATAAGATAACGCGACAAATGGGCCTGCCAAGGGAAGTAATTTCTGTGGAAAACTGGCTCCCATTTAAATGTTAATAAACATATTGCTTTGCCCCGTGAGCTCCAAGAAAGCCTTATTCCTAAACCCATCGTAGGTTCTGCCAGGCCCACAATGAGCCAGATGGCGAGAAATACAGTACAATATATTTAGGACGGATTACCTCTTGAAAAATTCCTAGAGTTGCTCGCTCGGAATCAATTCCGGATGCCCCAGAGCGCCTCAACCGCTTTGGCCAACTGGCCATCTCATAACATTACTTGTGAATTTGTATGGTATTGCAATGGGATTGCAGAACACCGCTTGGGAAATTTGATAAACATTACAATGAAATAAAACGTTGTTTCACTGATTAATTATATAATTATTTTTATGAAATCTTAATTAATGAAGTGATGAGATTTCATATAAGTAAATTTATAGAATTTTATTTTAGTAATTTATTTATGATATTATTCCGTGTTTTAGGATAGTTTTAGATTCCGCTTACTCTCTTCATGACCGTGCCTTTTTTAGTAACTTAGGAACAGTTCTACTTTATGCGGTTTTGGTAAGATAATGCTTAATTCATTTGCATATTTTTACAATTAATATTCTAATTTCAATTTCTTAAATTTTCTAGGGTACACTGCTAAATTGTTTTCTAATAGGTAAGTTTTATAACAAATATATTTTTGTTCTTATTTTTAATAAATCTTGAAGTATACAAATTTCTATATATACAAGTTGATCCCCCATAACACTGTTGATAATTCCGTGTTATATGAATTCTGTGTTGTACGAGTCACTTAGATTTTACAAATACGTGTGCTGGGCTGTGAACGGCTCAAGTATTTGTAAAATCTAAGTGACTCGTACAACATGGAATTCATATAACACGGAATTATCTACAGTGTTATAGGGGGTCTACTGTAATTGGAAACTTTACACCAGTCTTAAATACGGAGGGTAGGATTTGATGGAATAAGGCAACCCAACACGAAGATCTGCCAAGAGATGTGCCTCCCGGAAGGATTTGCTATGAGAAACTGGTCCCTATTTAGGTGTTAGTTAAATACTCTTATTTTCCCACAGGACCTACTTTATTTGGATTATGGAAAGTGGGTGCATTTCGCGCATTGAATTTAGGAGCTATCGAGTGCCTTATATTCAGTGCTCTGATATCAGCAGTGGACCCCGTTGCTGTAAGTAACAATGTTTCTTTAAGGAAAAAGGAATCACAAACCAAGTTCACCACAGAATTTTCCAGGTGTTAGCTATATTTCAAGAAGTCGGAGTAAATAAATCCTTATACTTTCTGGTATTTGGTGAATCGTTACTAAACGGTAAAAAAAATTAATTAATTAATTTGAAAATAAAGTTTTTAATTGTGTAATCCTTTGTTAATGTACTTCTACAGATGCTGTTACAGTTGTATTATATACAATGATGGTTGCTCTATCGACTAGCGAGAAAATTACTGCAGAACAGGTATTTGTTTTATTTTTTATATTTTCCTTAATATATCTTTATTATAATGTAAAATATTCTTAAAATCCTTTTCTTTTCAGATAGGATTAGGTGTAGCGACTTTCTTATGTGTCAGTTTCGGTGCATTGTCTATAGGAATTATTATGGGATTGCTGACTGCAATTGTAACTAAATACACCACAAATGTAAGAGGTAATTACATGTAAAACGTAATTATTTTAATATTTTACATTTCTGTGGATTTGTTGTTGTATTATGATAATACACATGTCTTCAAGTTTAGTGTATGAAAGAGATCGTGTCATAAAAATTTCACCTAGAAGAATTTTGTTCATTGCAATGCCAAAATGGCACTTAGGGCACTTAAATAATTTCTTTTGAGGCCAATTTTATATTTTATATATTAAGATGTAACGATTTTTTACCATAGTTTGAGTTAGGGTATCATACTGGTTACCCCTGCTGTGACCGACTACTCCATTAAAGACTGTAGGGCAATAGGGAAAAATTAAAATAAGGATTTTGGGGATAAAACTTGTGAGAAGCGCAATAGGGATTAAGGAAAAGATAACATTAGAGATGAAGAGATAGGGAATAAAATGATAATAAGGACAGATGATACATTTAAGAGGAAGAGGTGAAGCGATTTGATCTTTTTCAATTTATTTAAAAACGTGGATGCCGCGAATGATCATGGTATGGAAGATGCGTGGAAAAAGACCAAGAGGATGATGAAAGAGATGATGAATAGAAATGATTCATTTAGCAAGAGAAAGAGAAGTCTGCTGGACGAAGATAGAAGAAAACAAAGGATACTTCACCCGATTGTTCCTGCATCTAGGACCGTTCCGAATAATTTTGGTGCCTGAAGCAAGTTTAAGGACATTGACAATGTACTTATGTATTTCTGTAAACATTAACATCTTTCCAATTTGGCGCCTGAGGTAGTTGCCTCTCCGCCTCATCTAACATGTTGACACCACCATGCCTACAGTAAAAATACTAATAAAATAAGAAGACATATTATGTTAGATTAGAGTTTAGTCATATAGCCCTTAGTATAGCAATGTCTTGTGTCAATAAATAGAATTGAATCATACTTTATGCTACATGCTATTTTGTAAGTGCCATTGTTTACACTAGAAATTTCAACATTGACAACCACATCTTACTACACAAGTACTTTATTTTACTGAGAATTTCTTTATTTTATTACAGTTGTGGAGCCATTGGCTATGTTGGGAATTGCATATTTATCGTATCTTTTGGCAGAAATGGTCCATTTTTCGGGAATAATTAGGTAATAAAATAATTACTAATTATCTTAATTTAATTAGTTCAGTATTCGAATCAATTTGGATCATAAAATAATATAATTATGTGTATATATTTTTAAAATTTAACATGAAAATTTCCCTGTTTTCAGCATAATAGCGTGCGGTATAGTACAAGCCCAATACGCCAGACGTAATATATCCGAAAAGTCTTCCATAACAGTAAAATACTTCAGCAAAATGCTGAGGTAAATTATTATAAAATAAAATTTAAAGCATTTACATAAATTACATTAATATTATTGTTATTTTCAGTGCTATATGTGATACAATTATATTCCTGTTCCTGGGGATGGTGTTAATAAATGACGAACACGAGTGGCATACGGGATTCGTTTTTTCAGCCGCAGCCCTGTGCTTTATCTATCGTTTCGGGAGTATGTCAGTTTGTTTTTAAGTAAATTATGTACATACAGTATAACCGAATAAAAACACATCAAATATAAATAAAATAGCATTAAATTTCCATATTTATAAGTAACTTTTATGTATTTTCAGGCGTTTTCTTACTTACTCACATCGCTAACAGCTTAGAAAGGGTTCGTCCAATTAATATGGAAGAGCAATTCATTATGGTAAATTAATTAATATTTAAATTTTAACTGAAAACAATGTAATTTTTAGAATGAAATGGTATTTTATTCTCTATATTAATTGACACCAGATTGTGGTTCGATTGCAAAGTGGGGTAGCCAAAAAATCAGTTAACCGAGATAAATTATGCCTCGGTTAGCTGATTTTAAAGCCCCTCTGTATAAAAAAGACTATTGTTACTTCAGTATTGTTCAGTATTGACATTGTCACTTTTGTTCTTCTAACTTACATAAGTTCTTACACAGTAAAGTAACTTTATTATAACTTATAAGGGCCTCTTAAACAAGCCCATTGTGGGTTCGAGCAGGCCCACAATGGAGCAGGACGGGTCAAAACTTCCTGGAGGTTTCGACCTGTTTGGGTTTAATCCCGGGTCCCCAGAGTGGCAGGCCGTTACCTTAACCGCTCAGCCATCCGAACGTCTAGCAGCGTAACTAAAACCAATATTAGGTGTCCAAAATAGAACGTGAAAACCTACATTAACCCCGATGTAACAATGTAAACAAGGTAAAAGATTAATGTGTATTATCTCAACCAAAAGAACAGACTTCGTGTGTCTTGCAACCGTTCCAGTAACATTCAAATAACGTAAATGATAAATTTGATTATGGTTTAATACAGTAGACCCCCTATAACACTGTAGATAATTCCGTGTTATATGAATTCCATGTTGTACGAGTCACTTAGATTTTAGAAATACGTGAGCCTTTCACAGCCCGGCACACGTATTTGTAAAATCTAAGTGACTCGTACAACATGGAATTCATATAACACGGAATTATCTACAGTGTTATAGGGGGGTCTACTGTATTGAATTTATTAAAGTAATTTTTCTTGTGTTTTTTTGCTGAAAATTAATTGAAACTTTCAAAAAACAAACAAAAACGCTTTGATGTGTAGGCTTACGGAGGATTAAGAGGGGCCGTTGCTTTTTCTTTAGTCATCATGCTCAAAGAAGATGATGTTCCAAATAAAAAGTTATTTGTTACTGCCACGTTATTCATTATCCTTTTTACAGTTTGCATTCAGGTAATTTCTTACTACAAAAATATTATAAAATCAAAACAATATATATATGCAATATAATCCTAATATTTTGATCTAGGGTGGAACCATCAAACCTCTTGTTAGCCTATTGAAAATTAGGAGACAGTCGGGAAAAACTACCAGCCTCTTTACTGAAATTAATAATAAGGTAATATAAAATTAAATAAAAATTATTGTTTCGATATACAAGTATATAGGTAGGACCACCCTGTATATATTAATTTTTAGTTAATATTACAAGCGATATAATTTTATAGGTGGTGGACAATATAACTGTTGGAATCGAGGAGATTACTGGTGATCATGGTGACAATACTTGGATGGTAATATTTATTATTTTATTTATATTCTTTCTCTAATTATAAGCGTTATAGAGTAAGTTATATGTGTAAGGATTAATCCATAGGTGTATATTTTTTCATTGAATCTCGTTTTTTATTATAGATTGTGTGTGAATCTTATGCCTCATTTTGTGTTTATTTTCAGCAACGGCTTTATCGCTACAATAACCAATACATAAAATCGTGGTTGCTATCATCATCGGGGGATGATGATAAACTAACGAGGATATACACCAAAATGGTTTTAGAGTGAGTATGGATGATTATAAGAGATGTAACAATTTAATTCCTGGAATGCACCTACGCGTGGAACCTAACACTGAATTGCTATTGTCGCTTTTAAAATGCATCTATACACTACACAAGTGTATAATAAACATTAACTAATTGAGAAATGGTTCTCTGTTTAGGGACCACTACGCTCATCTGTATGGACCAGCAACAGTAATCGAAGAGAATCGTCCGCTTCCTACTTTCATGTGAGTTTAATTATATGAATTATTATGTGAATTTGGCAAAGTTTAATGGGCCGCACAAAGAATTATCCAATATATTTCAAGTCTGAATATCATTAACGCCATTTAACAATAGTGTTGGCGTACGAAAGATCAATGATTATGAAATCACTAGCTTCGGTAAACTTGAATATTGGGTGATGATGATCAGCATTTTTCACACTAATTCTAGTGGAAATTACACACGAGTTTACACTAAAAATTATAATTCATGTGTTTTTTTAGTGGTTCCGATTATTGCGAAATGGAAAAACTGGATTTGGGTGAAGAGGAGAACGAAATGATGATAAAAACTGACGAAGACGAGAAGAAACCTCTTAGAATAGAAGGTAAGCATCATCGTGTATCGTTAACAATATGCAGTAGGTAGGTTATGTCTGTGCATTCTTCTACGGTAACAACTCATATTTACAAAGCTGACAGACGTAAACTGTTTAAGGAGGGGTTCGGTAAGGTTTAAATCATTTAAAAACCTATCAGAATATTTAGTTATTATTTAAGGGTTTTTTTCCTCTCTTTTAATTTTTAGAAGAATCTTCGGTAGAAAACGCCGCTCCTGCCAACGATTTAAACAAACGTCGACATACCGTTATCAACATGCTTGCACCTTCTCTGAGACGTAAACATCCTCAGGAAGACAACACGTCGGAACTCCTTAAGAAAGCGCTATTGCATAATCCTTATAATAAGGTTAATTTCAATTTTTTTTTCTTTTATATAATTTGATAATCGATTAAATATTTCAACAGTTTGATATAATACAAGAAGCCAATTCTTTGATGTGCTCTTTATCTAGTTTTCTTAATTTCCATTGATCATTAAACAATGGAAACTGCGAAAAATACTTATAAATATAGTGGAAACTAGATTTTTTATTTATAATACTAATAAAGAATCGGATTTTTAATTGGGGATACAATGAGATCTGGTAATACTAATTGGGGATACTAATAGAAAATGGGCTCATACTATTTTGATATATTAATAGAAACTTTGAATACAACTGGAACTGGGAGTACTATTTAGGGATGCAACGGGAACTGGGAGCACTATTTAGGGATGCAACAGGAACTGGAAATACTATTCAAAAATTTTAGTCAAATATTGACATATAAAAGCAAATACAGTATAAACTCTTCTATCCAAAATGGCTTTCTAAACAACAAACACTGTATCGTTTTGTATACCATAGACTATAGTTTACAGAGATCAAACTCTCCAGGTAAACTGGAAATTACTATGTTATCTGTCGATTGTAGCGCCGCGAAACTAGGTCACATAAGTAACATTACGTTCAATTTTCAGTAAATTAATTTACTTACAAATACACTACGTGCATTACAGTATTTATACTTCACGAAACTTTAAATGCACAGCACTTGATGTACACAAAACACAAAACCCAACGATGTACTGGATTATCCGAAAGACCCCCTGATTCTATAATCACTTGTAATAACATTTAATTGAACAACACAATTAAATTTGACAACAATTGAATTGCATTTAATGTAAATAATAATAAATACAATAAAAATATTTTCTTTATTATTTTTTTAATTGAATTTTTCAGCTGAAAAAAAAATTTAATTCATTTTTCCAGTTTCATCAAAAATATAATCCGAATTTAGTGGGAGAAGAGGATCAGGAATTAAGCACGCACTTACGAGCTAGAAGAATTCGCGCTCGTCGTCTGACTTTAGCAGCCCTTCATTCGTGTTCGGCAACGGAAGATGAAGACATTCCAGAAGAACAAACGGAAAAACCTGAAGTTCAACCAAGAGTACAATCCGAATTATATTCCAGTCCCACAAATAAATTGTTAGAGAAAGCGTACAGACGTCGTTCGCTGATGAGTAGCAAACGTCCCAGATTGGAAAGAGCAAAGACTATATTTGCAGAAACTCAAGCAGAAAACGCGGAAGAGCAACCTTTAGTCAGACAGAAACCCAAAAGTGTTAACTTGGGTACGATATCCGAAGAAAATGGTGACGCGCAACCTTCGGACATCGTCCAGAGTCAAAGTCAAAAAAGAGTTAGACTTCAGAAGTCTATCACTATTGATACGTCTCCTGAAAATGACGAGACTACTATATAAATATTTAGTATTTGCCTTATTAATTATGCACCCGAAATCTCCATATGTTGCACAAACCGTGCTGTAGTCTGTTGGTCTTTTTTTATTGCACACAATATCCACGATTTCTTTACTAAATTACTCTTCCTCTTTCCATCTATAGAATATGGAATTTTGAAGACTATAATTCCATAAATACTACAAAGGATTTACATACACTTAATTCATAAAACCGACAAGGATGTGAATTTTACTAGATTCTGTACATTTTTTTCTGTACTGTACTGTAGTAAGGAATATCTGCTCTGCATTCCAGTTACCGGAACAAGACTTGCAAACCATTCTTACAACAATTGTAGCATTGGTGTGTGAATAAATTGTTTGGGAAGTCTTTTATTGCTAACTAGAGTGCAGTTGAGGTGTCTGTTACCGCACCAGAGTGCAGTTCCCCGGTGTCTGTTACCGCACCAGAGTGCAGTTTGAGGTGTATGTTACCGCACCAGGGTGCAGTTTGAGGTGTCTGTTACCGCACCAGAGTGCAGTTGAGGTGTCTGTTACCGCACCAGAGTGCAGTTGAGGTGTCTGTTACCGCACCAGAGTGCAGTTGAGGTGTCTGTTACCGCACCAGAGTGCAGTTGAGGTGTCTGTTACCGCACCAGAGTGCAGTTGAGGTGTCTGTTACCGCACCAGAGTGCAGTTGAGGTGTCTGTTACCGCACCAGAGTGCAGTTGAGGTGTCTGTTACCGCACCAGAGTGCAGTTGAGGTGTCTGTTACCGCACTAGAGTACAGAAAGAAGAGTTGGTTCTCCACTAATTTACAAGAATTGTGAATGCCCTTCTCTGTAAATCACTCTATTCTAAAGTACTATATGATAATCGTAACCTCTTACGAGCTTTGTGATAATGAGACGTACTAATTAATAATTTTGAAGTAAATTAGGATATATTTTCTCTAAACTGATATCTAAACTATTTTAGAATACCTCGTATTCAAAATAAAAAGAGAACTAAATTTATGAATAACAGAATTTTTCTCACTCTAACTAAAGGGGATAATTATTAACAAATATTTTTAATATTGTACAGTACTACTATAAAAAAAGATGCTTCCAGAAGTGTTTTAGAGTACAGAACTGATTATAGAATCACAGCTGTATCTAGAACAGAACGTGACGTTGTACCACGGGTGCTAGAACTTTAAATAAAGGGAAAATTCATCGTGCACAACACTGACACTAGAAGCTTGTCTCTGATTTATGCTGCAAAACGAATATATTTGAAGGTGAACATAATTGTTGCAATATTTTTTACGTTTGAATAAGACTAATACACTATGAGAAATATATATATAATGTTTACCGTGAATAATTTTGGCATATTCGTGCATTTTTTATACTTGTTGTTTATAAAAGTGAAGTGCTCGACGAGTAGAATATATAAAGAAAAAAATGTATTATACAAAAAAAAAATATGTGGAATAAAGGTAATTTGAATTTATTAAATTCTGTTTTTGATTTTAACCCGAGCCTTACTTTTTGGTATACGTGTAGTTTAAGTAAATTTAGATGTGTAAACGGGCCTCCGTATATTGGGACACTTGGAACACGTGCTCCTTTTTCTCCTGGGATGTCCTTTTCCTAACTCCAAAAGAGTAAAGTAGAGTTTTTCGGGGTTTTTTCACGTTGCAATACATAAATGGGCCACTTTCTTAAGTCCTCTCGGAAATTATTATCCCTCGGGAGATCGTCTACGTTGCCGTACACAAGCAGACAAACTTTTTGTTGGCCTACCAGTGGCCGAGTAGATAAATTCGGCCATTGAACATTGATGGTCAGTCGCGGGTTTGCGCCTGATCAATGGACTGCTTGCGAGCAATTTTCCGGGATTATTCCCCGTGTCTCAATAGGCCCACTTGTTGTTGTTGAGATCCAAGGTTTCCTAGTGTTGCCAGACATTTCATTGTCACCACATTTAGCCATCTCGTTAATCTTTTCAAACCACCTATTATGTACTACTCTACCACTTGATGGCAGAAAATTGAACTGCGCGTGTTTTCTGTACCAAGAACACTTTATAATTCTCACATAAATACATGAATATATCAATTATTTGTACAATTCCTTTAATTTATTACCATCTAAAGACAGTGTATTATTGGTTTTATTGGATTGGCAACGCACACACGGGCGATCTGCCGAGGGGGAAAATGCCTCCTGGGGTTACTGACACAAATTCCGATGGCATTACAACTGTAATCATTTACATATCTGTCTGAGACATAGATGTATGCAGAGTTTTGCAATAAAAGAACAGTTTCAACTCAATGAGGTAAGCATCTTTTGGTCGATAAGTGCATTATAAATGGAATATCTTGAATTTAGTTTTATATTAATAAAAATAATTATGTGTACGAGTATAAATATTAAAGTAAATAAAATAAAATTATTTATGGGAATATTTTCAATATATTTTATATGATTTATATTATTATTAAACTAAAAGAAATTTCGTTCGCGTGTATCTTAAATATTTTTTGCAACACTCCATTTAAAAAATTACCCAACCTTGCTTTATAACAATAGAGAACTTTATGTAAAATGGCTGATGATATTGTTTTATTTGTAATTGTTTCTAAAGTAATAAAGATGTCGAAAAGGGTGGAGATAAGCTTATTTATTCTACAAACAATTACACTTATAAATGGGCAAAGCACAGAGCTGTAACAAATGCATTAATTGAAATTTCAATCACGCTAATATCTCTATTTTCCATTCTGTTATATAAGGTAGTTCCTCTAATGTCTTAACAAGATCCATTAGAAGACTTTTGATGGATAACCGTGCATTTGTACGAATGTTTCCGATTTATGTCATTCGTTTTTGTTTATCACTACAAAACACATATTCAAAAATAAATGCAAGATTTAAAATAAATTTTTTCTGCCATTAATAATAACGTTGCAGATTTTTATAAATATATATTTTAGTCTATCTTCAACAAAGAATCTATTGCCAATTATTCTTCATCTGGTATTCTTGATCAAGGTGAAGGCATACACTTAAATCTATCGAATGCGGCTCTTTCTAAACTCTCTCTGTCGTCGGGATGAGCAATTCGAATTAATTCGTAAGCTCTCTGTCTTAGAGTCTTGCCGAAAAGATTAGCAATTCCATATTCTGTAACTACGTAATGGACGTGGCCACGCGTGGATACAACTGCCGACCCTAAAAATTTTTTACATTTTACTATGAATTGTGTTGAAAAGCTTTCAGAATTTGTCTTTCAATAGATTTAAAACCCTGAAATCTTTTCATATGTCTTTTTTAACCTGAAAGCTTTCAAGTCTACTTACCAGGCTTTAGATGAGGAACTATTTTGGCTTCTCCCTTACTGGTCCTAGAATATAATACTAGTATCGGTTTTCCCTTTTGGTCTAAACTTTCAGCCGCTCCTCTTAAGAAATCGGTCTGTCCTCCAAGTCCTAATGTATTAGAATGGAAATATCTTATTTCAGAATATCTATTAAAAGCCAGTTAATATTTTATACAAATATTTTTAATAGTTTTGTATTAAAATCTGTAGAACACAGTTAACATTGAACGATGAGAGAAAATTTCCAATAGCCATGAAACAATGGTAAATACAACGATGTAAACTTGCATTTGATTTATTAACAGCGTACCATCAAAGCTTTAAGCCAGTGGCCAAACAAATCTTGTTGTGGCCAAATCCGGACAGTTGCAAAATTTACTTCAACCGCGAAGATATCGAAGCACCTATTGCTCAAATATCTTTCGAACTCATCTTTAAAGGGTTATCTTTTTCATTATTTATAACAAATGATACCCATTTTCAAATACACTTTTAACTGGATATTGAGCCTACAGCTCCGAGGACCAGGATTCGAGTCCAAGTCAAAATTTTCAGGAAATCTTTTTATGGCGGTCGGTTCTAGATAAGTAGGATCCGTCTTCTCACCAACCAGCCGCTCCGTTGTGGGCCTGGGTATTTTTTTAATAACCCTTGTGGGCGCTAAGATGGCCTCTTTTAGCAAGCCCATTATGGGTTCGGAACACGGACAAGACACTTCTAATTTGAGATGAAAAGCATATATTTTAAATTAAATAAATTAAAATATGATTAAAGATTTCAGCCCGGCATTGTGATCGTGTCACAATAAAATAATTGCTCGTTTTAATTATTATTATTATTATATTCACGGTTATATTTGGAGGGTGGGATAGGGCAACGCAACATATGAGCGATATGTCGAAGGAAGATGCCTCACTAGAGAACTTTCTGTGTTCTTAGTGAAAATCATATCCCTCATCTCAAGAGGACTCGGAAACTTGCACGTTGTTGATACGCGAACCCATGATCGACTACCGGTGTTCAGTAATTTTTATCGATTCGGCCACTGGTGAACTTATTATATTCATTATTAGTTATGTGTAACACATACTGATGGTTTTTATGTACAGTAGAACCCCTCCAATTCCTCACCTTTGGGACTGGGGGTATGGTCGGAACGCAAGAAAGGTCGGATTATCAGAAAAAAGTAAAATAAAAAATCTTCCCCTTTGTCCAGTCTTTGTAGCACTGCTAATTTTTCATTTAATGAAAGAGTAACGTGTTTACGTTTCACTCCTGACATGTTGAAAGCACACACAAAACTCTACACGTACACACAATGTAAAACATATACTGTAACGAACACAGAAAAACGCTACGGACGGTGAGTCACCGACGAGTCGGGACAAGTTTCTCGACTCCGACCACGGTCGGATTAACCGGAGTGAGGGACTAGCCGAGGGCGGACTAGAGGGGTTCTACTGTATTAGCTACTAATAAATAAAGTGTACTTGGGACAAATACAAATATGAATATACTCAGCCAACGGAATGACCAGGCTTCAGCCAACCACTCTAGAGATCCAAGAATGAATCCTGGCAGGTCAAAAACCCCAGGAATTTTTCGAGGATGATCCGTGTTGGATATGTCGGGCTCCATTTCTCGCCCTATTGTGGTCATGGTCGAACTCAAGACTGGCTTGAAAAAAGGCCTGCTTAGTGCCGAAGGACGGAAATAATTAAAAGAAAAATTGTGTATATTGGAATCAATATAATAAATGTTATTTTTAAAAATTCATATGTCTCAAGCATATTTCTATATTTCTAGTATGTCTATTTGCACTGATGTACTGGCAATGCAATTGTACTGTACAGTACAATTGGATTGCCGGATTGATTAGTTTGGGTACTGCTACTTTAAGTGAATAAGTTGCTGGTTTTTCTACATTATACAGTATATGTAAATTTCTTTCTCTCGCTTGTATTCTATGTGTTTTTTGTTCTTCGCACTTAGTATACGATATCAATATGGGGCATACTTTGGCCGAAATTAAAAATTTAAATTTTATTTCTTTAAGTTTCCCATAACACTAAAATTGGAAATTCAAAAATATTAGATGAGCAGAGAAATGACTTAACCTATATAGCATACGGTATGACCCAAAATTGAACTATTAATATTATTTTAAGTAGAATTAAAATCATTATGGACAATTTCGTGATATCATTCGTGGGTCAAGTGGAAAAAACTGAAAACTAGTATTGATCGCAGATTCGTATGGAATTTCTCGGATTTTTTTCAAGTAAACAGGGGCCAGTTTCCGACAGAAAGTCTTCAGATCTCCCTATGTTGCGTGGCCTTATCTCATCAAACTAAACCACACCAAATAGAAGATATACAAACGTAAAAACTACGAACAGTACAGTAGACTCCCCTATAACACTGTGGATAATTCCGTGTTATATGAATTCCATGTTGTACGAATCACTTAGATTTTACAAATACGAGAGCCGTTCACAGTATTTGTAAAATCTAAGTGACTCGTACAACATGGAATTCATATAACACGGAATTATCTAGTGTTATAGGGGGGTCTACTGTAGTTTAACAAAAACAATAGCTTACCCGAATATATGTATGGTCCAATACAATCGGCTGCAACTTCTCCGGCTAAATCGATCTCGATGCAAGAATTAATGGCTACCATTTTGTGATTGGAAGCGATCACTCCCGTGTTGTTAGTGAAACTGATATCCCTCATCTCTATATTATAATTATCAATGTATTGTGTTAGTTATACATGAATGGAAAACATTGTGAATTTTAGACTGAAATCAAGAACAAATTTTAAAAATAATATAACGAGCGCACATATTTTATTGTGTATTAATATAAATTTAATACATTAAATAAATATAGCCTAAACATTATTTTATATTAATTTATTATATAGTTCAGCAGTCTGGCTTCCGCGCAACGACAATATAAAATGGCGACGATGAAGCATCGCCAGTGTGAGACCCGAAAGGCCCTGGGTCTAATTTATGAATTTTTATTAATAATGGTTAAAATATCGACACAAAATATTACTTCATTTTTTGTGAAAAACTAGTGTTTTAGACGTGGGAAAAACCCAGATAACAGATGCTATTTCCTTTCACAGAAGAGAACATCCTCTGACTTTCCCTTATCTGGTTAAAAATCTCACTCAGATGGGAAATGGTTACCCCTCATTCATCCCCCTTTCGTCCGTTCTCACGAAAGAGTTACTGGCCGATGATTGGTCGAAATTCAGGAGATATAAGGGGAAATTAGTCCAAATTCGAGGAGTTCTTCGACAGATCCGAAGCGTCTGAACTCCACGCAGTTCTCCTCCTGATGACTAACGCCCTTAAACGAGTCCCATAGACTAAGTTCCGAGTCTAAACTTAGTGAAGATACTTTTTTTGTGCACGTATTGATCTCCCATACGAAGAAGTAAATGAACTCTATCTACAAGGAGTCCCTTACCTACAGAAATGAAAACGAACGATGACAACTAAACAGGTCGTATGTTTTGGAATGATTTTGTGAGCTCTCTCTCTCTCGATCGCGCATTAGCATAGAATAAGTCTTAGCCTATATCTTGTCTCTTAATTGTCGTTCATCGATTATTTGTATTTGTTTGGTTTAGAATTATTAAATCTACTCTTGTTAAATATACTTAAATGTCTCTTCAATTGATTCCGAATAAGATCTCATACGCGTGTTAATCCGCGTATAATAAGATTGATTAACTGGTGTCGGGACCCTGACAATTTGGGATAAAGACCTCACAGTCTTGAATCCCCTTTTCCTAAAATTACTGCCCTCCTATAAAACGTTACGAGAGCCGATCTCACGATCGCGCGCCGTAAGTGTCGTAGACTAAGATCTACGTCCTGGCTGATCTCACACCAGCAATTTGTCGAATGTGAAGAGAATCGCTCGAGAAGCTGCAAAAAGAACACAGGTAAGCCATTAATGAAAGGAAGAAAATGTTAATAGAGTTAATGAGGAAACGCGAAATTTCAATGCTTTGTAAAATTCAGAGGGCTTTCCTTTCCCGCTTTTGCGTGAATCTGCAATTCAAATACATTATTTCGTTGTAAGAGATTTGATACACTCTTCAAATACTAGTAGATGTCGGTTGCAACAACAGATTAACAAGATTAATGTAAAGCCGAAAACAATTTAATTCTACTCACCTACGTCTATATTATTGTGTAGAAAATCATAAAGCTTTCTAGATCCGATAATATAACTAGTAAGTAGCTTCCCCGGAATAACGGTCTTGTATCGATTAGTAATGGCTCCAGAGTTAAACAGATCGACGAGTCCATCGCCGAACATTTCGGTGTGAACGCCCAAATTGCGATGTTGTCTAAGTGAAGTCATAACAGCGTCAGGAATCGATCCAATCCCTAAAATATTTATAAAATCTAATTTAGAATACGGCAAAGTGGAGTTTTCCGTGTTTAACACCCAAATGTTTGTCAATTTCCCATAGAAATCCTCTCTGGAAGAATCCCCATTTCTCTGGAAGATCGCCCGTGTATTGCATTCCAATGAATCTTATTATAACATGGGTTTTTTTATAGCGAGGTACTAAGGACGGAAATATTAGAAAGAGATATATGTATATAGTATTTTGGCGCCCGAAGCTAAACCCGTTGACCACATTCACTTGTTAGTCTATGCATTCGCGAGACGTTAGAAAAAACTTGTATTGAACCTTCTATGGGCAACTGATCTGATGTATTACGAGGTTGTTATTGCAAAACATATTTATTAGAAAGTCACGCCTTACCTATCTGAAACGTGGCACCATCATCCACCAAATTATCAGCAATTAATTTCCCTATTTTTAAATCCATTTCTGTAGTTTGCTTGGACGGCACCTCTATTAGCTCGTGATGCCCTTCCACTAAGAAATCGAAGCGATTTATATGAACTTGGCTATCTCCAAACGTTTTAAGTTGGTTAGAATTGACTTGCGCTATTAGGAAAAGAAAATAATTGCAATTTCATTCTATAGAAAACTTAAATATTATTATAATAAATTCATACCTATAACACATTTGGCAGTTTCGACCGCTGCTCTAGTGCATCCCACGGAGCCTCCTAACGAACAGAAACCTCGTTCGTCCGGTGGAGTTACTTGAACTAAAGCAACGTCAACAGGTTGTCGATGTAAGTACATCGGGAAATCCGTGAGGAAAATAGGCATGTAATCAGCTTTTCCAGTATTTACGACATGGCGGAGAAACGGACTAACAAAGGGTACAATGCAGCGGAACATATCTGAAAGCAATCATTTTTATAAATAACGAATAAATAAACATCTAACTCAGTTTCTTACTCTTACAATACCTGGAGATTCTGATTCCAAATAACTGAAATCGCCGTAAATTAAAAGAGAATAAGTAACGGGTTTCTTTTGTCTGGAAACTTTGGCATGTTGTATAAATGTTGAAATAAGCTTTTGTGGTAGAGAATATAGGCCATCGATAAATATTCTATCACCTGTAATAGAATCGATTAAAATATGATACTGTACAAGTCGATCCCCCTATAACACTGTTGATTTTTCCGTTTTATATGAATTCCATGTTGAACGAGTCACTTAGATTTTACAAATATGTGAGCCGTTCACATCCCGGCACACGTATTTGTAAAATCTAAATGACTCGTACAACATGGAATTCATATAAAACGGAAAAATCAACAGTGTTATAGGGGGTAGACTGGTATTTAATACTTAGAATAACGTTAAAATATACATAAATTTTTAACTTGTTTTTTTTAACAATATTTAGTGTTCACTAAACGAGGTAGCAATGACGTTCAGAGAGCGGGTGATTAAAATTATACAAGTGAAAAACAACTCACCAGATTTAATTACGGAGACAGCTTCTTCCGCAGAAGTCCATTTACTTTGTTTTCTTGGATAGTGATTAGGATTTTGAGAATAAGTGAAGTAACTCTTACTGACAATCCTTTGTCTCAATGATGTAAAAACTGGATTTAAACAATTTCTAGAATAGAATAAAATATTTCTAACACGTCTGGTCGCCATTGGATTCTGATCTGAAAGATTTGCTTTACTTTTTATAAACATTCATCACTATTGATAACATGCGTAGATTATGCAGCTAATTCTGTTGTCTATGCGCTAACTGAACTTAGAAGTGAATTTATAAACGTCAAGTGTTTATATAACTATTATATAAACATTTATATAAACATTTGACGTTTATAAATTCACTTCTAAGTTCAGTTAACGCATAGACAACAGATTCAATCACCCATTAATATTGCCCTAATTTTGCCTCTTCATTTAACGAATCGAACACCAATATACACGCCGAAGACACTGCATGTATTGTATTACGAGCGAACTGAAAAGATCAAGAACAATGTTCTCAGATGCCTTCAATTAGGAAAGAATTAAGATTAATATTTTAATATATGTATGTTGGTATATATATATATATATATGAGAATTTTTGCTCAAATATGATCATTTTAAATGGCAGATATGATAAATTGTAACCTCAAGTCTGGCGACGTAAGTGCCATAACGTTGCCATAACTGTTAAATCAATTATGGCCGACTCATCAATGGAAGGAAATAAGTTACTTTTACAGTTAGACAAAACTATTAAGCAGCTCTACAGTTTCTCCTCCCAAAAAAGAAGAATTAAATTAAGAATTAAAGAATATGGTATAAACTTTATGTAGAAAAGAACCATCATCACAATGGTTTTACCATACAGCATTGCAGAGTCTTTCCTGAATTAATGCGTGGCAAAAGGAAATGATATTCAGTATGGTAAGAAAAATACAGAGATAAAAAATGCAAACGTTCGAAGGAAAAAACGTTCCATATTGATACGTCTTTTCACGTATACTATGAAACTTTGTATATATAACATCGGTGGTCAATGTACTGTACTTGTGCTGTATACTTTTTCAAGGTCATAGGTCAACTTTCAAGGTGAAATGATGTGGCAAATTGCCAAAAACAACGTAAACATTTATCGAGGTCAAAGGTTAGAATTTTTAAAGTAAGAGATATACAGGGAGAATAAAAAAACATTCGGAAAATATTTAAAACTTGTAAAAATAGATTTAGAATCATAAATATCAGGCTTTTTTAAATAATTTATAAAGATAAATAAGGAAATAACATCATTTTTGTACGTATTTTATCAATTTTGTAATAGATACTAGTGTTATTTCCACTGTTTCCACCTTACCACATTTTTAAAAGTAAGTTTATTTTCACTTATTTTGCAGTATTCTTTGCATTTTATAAATATATTTATTAAATATTATAAAATGGCAAAAAGCTTAATTTTGAGAGTACGGATGGATAAAAAGCACGGGAGTTATTAAGCTTCAAACAGGGTGAATAAAGTCTTGCCTCCCACACACTAACATTTATACATACAGAAAATAACACCGAATTGTTTTGCATTATCTCGACGTTTCGACGTCTCCAGTCCTAAAATGTAAAAGTCCTGAGAGTTCATTTTTCGACCGATCGCCATACTTTCCTCTGCTATATATTACAGAGCCGGAAAAGTAAATACAATGACAATTTTTGATTAAATGCACGCTCAGGCTATATCTGAATCAGGCTGTTTCTAGTATCATTAAATAGGGATAGGTCTGATAAACAGATTTACTGGAATTTATCTGATCAATGCAGATTATCAATGTAATCAACATTAACAACGCTTGTACCAGGAATACCGACCGAGGTAAGTAAAGATTCCCGGAGGGTAATGGAATTTTGAAATTTGGAACACAAGGAGACAATGGAAAATTTGAAAATTATCTGAAATTCTCGAAATAAGAACAATGACAACTGTGGGAAATTCATTAAGTGCTTTATTAGTATACTTCATACAACTTAATCAAAATACAGTTGTCCCTCTATAGTCCGACATTTTTTAATCCGACATGCTCAGTAGTCCGACGCACCTCCCGTCAAGGTACCCCCGCGTTTTTTTATGCAGCGAGAGTGTAGCGAAATGACGTCACGATCAGTATTGGCCAATTAGAAACCAGTTTCAGTGTGTTCGCTGTAAAGCGCTTCTCGAGCGCTGCATAAAAAAACGCGAGGTACCCGTCCCCATTACGTGTCTGCTTGCACAGAAGCATGTCGCGATGTGAATCTCCCCATCCAATTCTTACTCGATGACACACATTTCGTGTGTTTTATGTGAGCAGTTCTGTTCGAACAGTTGGAGTAGAGAATATTGTATGTTACTGCTAGCAAAACAATGCGAAATATGTAATTATTTTCGGTAATCCGGACACTTTTGGTAATCTGACACACCTTTGGTCCCATACCTGTCGGATTATCAAGGGACAACTGTATAGGGAAATGACATAAGAATTTTAAAAGGGTCGATTGAAAAAAAGTATTTTCTATAGGGGCGATCAATGCAAGAAAAAGATTGGGAAACCTTAGCCTATACCCACGTTATTTTTTTAATGTTAATATAAGTTTTTATTAAAACATTCTTACAAGTAACATAAAACATACTTACTGTTAAATTTTTATAAATTAAATATATAACTTGCAAATTATTAAAACAAAACAAAACTGTTATTTTACAAAAAAAAAATAATAATTTATTAAATAATTCCGTATACAAATCGGATCAAATCCGCTTCAACGATTACTTTCGACACCCTTCGGTTAAAGGAGAGTGTCGCGTGGGTGTCGATACAGAGTAGTCACACACATTTAATTCTCTAAATATTTTCATTTACACGTAATACTAAGAATACAATAGAGAGGTTGAGGCGCACGTTTTAAACGTGTAAACGTGTACGTGTGACGTTCGGCGCCGCTTTCCCGTAAGCCTAAAAGTGTGACGATGGTGTTTGGAATGTCGAGCGTGATTCCACCGACTATCCAAACACCATTGTCAAACTTTTAGGCTTACGGGAAAGCGGCGCCGAACGCCACACGTACACGTTTACACGTTTAAAACGTGCGCCTCAACCTCTCTAATATGGCGAGCGAGAGTTTACATAATATCTGATTAAAATCAAATATCGTACAAAAGTCGAAGGTCTGCAGGTTGGTCGTTTGATTCTTTTTATGTCTGAGGCGATGAATGGTCACCGATCAAAGTCTCACACCCGACTCGATAGTCTCACACCCTTCGAATCTCTTTTATTCGAAGCAATATTTCCTTTCGAAATTACATATATTAATAGTATATATCTTGTATACGTAATTTACAATTAAGATGTTATTTTGGTTTGCTCATTTATCAGAAACTGAGATCCGTTTATGGCAGGCACGAGAAAGCCATTTGCAAACTATTCATTCTAATTAATTCTTTCTTTCTTAAATAACTCTTTGCGCTATTGAGTCTATTATCAAAGAGTTTATTGCCAGTTATTTCTAATCTTGATTTCTCGATCAAGGTGAAAGAATGCATTTGAATCTATCGTACGCATCCTTTTCTAACTTCTCTCTGTCATCCGGATGAGCGATTCGAATTAATTCGTAAGCTCTCTGTTGTAGGGTTTTGCCGAAAAGACTGGCAATTCCATATTCCGTAACTACGTAATGGACGTGGGCACGCGTGGACACAACTGCCGACCCTGAAAATCTTTATATTTTTACATGTTACGAAATTTTAATTGTTATAAATAAATTTTTGTCAACGAACCTGGTTTTAAACGAGGAACAATTTTAGTTTCTCCTTTCTTAGTCCTCGAATGTAACACTAGTATTGGTTTCCCCTTCCAGTCTAAACTCTCAGCCGCTCCTCTTAAGAAATCGGTCTGTCCTCCAAATCCTATTGAAATACGCTCGATATATCGTATTTTAAGACCGATCATAAAATTCTTTACTATTTAATAATTACAGAACGATCGTAAAGTCCCTCCACAGTGGACGAAGAAACGGAAGGGGCTTCCAGGAACGTCACAGATAGGTCGCGATTCGAAACAGTTAAAGTCGTAACGTCACAGTTCGGCCCGACCGATCACACGGGCGCGGTCCACTGCCAACGACTTTACGATCGCACTGGGAATAAATACTAGAAAAATAAAGAATACAGTTAAATAATCATAAAATAGGTTTCGAAAATAATCTGCAATTACTTCTTGTCTTTTTTACTTTTTCGGCTGTTATATATAACAGAGGAAAAGTACGTCCAGCGATCAAAAAATGACCCTCCAAGATTTTTACATTTTTGGACTCAAAACATCTTGAAACGTCGAAAAATGAAAAAAAAATCGGGTATTTTTTGTATGTATGAATACATGTGTTTGTAGACGTATGAGGGAACGATATTTTCACCCTATTCGAAGCTTAATAACTCCTGTGCTTTTCGTCGAAAATGTCTGAAATTTCGCAGGGAGGTTTGTTTATCGGGAGGATTAATAATGATAAAGTTTAGTGGTTAAAGGTTGGTGGAGTGGGGAGATAAAGGGAGTCGTGTGTGTATCTTCAGTAGGGTCGGACTTGATAAAGATTTTACTGGTTATTACCATTTACAATTTTTTATAAAGCCCATTCCTACCCTCAAAATTAAGCTTTTTGCCATTTAATAATAATTAAAAATATAACATGTTTTTAAATAAAATATGATAACAAATGGCGCCACCAAATGTTGCCGGGAAAGTTAAGCAACTCGTTGCTGGATATTTTTTTTTTCAGTTTTGCTTCCTCGGGTTTTATAAAATTAACATAGGGAGAGTGCGGAATCGATGAAACTGTGATCCTAATTTTTTCATGTCTCGACGTTTTGACACTTAAAGAGTCCAAAAATAAAAACAATAATAATAAATACTTTACCAAAATTTTGTGTCTGGGCATCTGTTTTGCGTTGTATCTCAGGACCAAATGAGTTAAAAATTTTGAATTTCGCAAGGTTATTTCTACATATGGGGCTTTGTTGATATTAATATTTTGGTGATTAAAGTTCAAGCGGATTGAAAGGAAAGATGTGTCATAATGGGGTCGATTTAATAAAAATTTTACTCGTCGTTGGCATTTACAATTTTGAAAGTCATCCTTAACCTCAAAATTAAGTCTTTCTCCTTTTTATAATTAATGTAATACAAGTTATTTTTGAATAAAATCACATAACGGATGCTTCATACAAGACTTTATGCTAATGTGTCTTAGCGTTTTTTAAACTTAAATGTTCTTTTGAATAGAGAAATTTATCACAATTCCTTTTAAGTTTTTATTATTACTTAAATTTTATATTGTAAATTGATAATTATCGAACTTATGGCTCCTGGAACGGGAGGACTTCTGGACTTCTGGCTCCTGGAACGGGAGGGAGGTTCAGGGAATGGCTCCCTGAACCCCCGTTTCAGGAGCCAGAAAAGTCGAGAAAGAGTCCTTTAATATTCTGTACTGGTTCATTAATGTAATTTGGCAACATCTTTAAAATTTTTGTATTTTTACCACCGACAAAAGAACTGATTAAGCGAATTTTAATGCTAGAAAGTTGGAAAATTGCACCGACATTTACACGAAACTACGCTTTAAATGATGTTTGCATACAATTTAGAATCTGTTATGAATATTTATAAACGTAAATCATATACAGAATAACTTACCCGAATATATGTATGGTCCAATACAATCGGCTGCAACTTCTCCGGCTAAATCGATCTCGATGCAAGAATTAATGGCCACCATTTTGTGATTGGAAGCGATCACTCCCGTGTTGTTAGTGAAACTGATATCCCTCATCTCTATATTATAATTTAAAATATTCAGAACGTAGGCTAATATTTTACATGTTACTATAGTAACATATTAAGTTACAGTTCGAAAGGAATTCAATTATAAGCTTAAAAAATAAAAATATTTGGGTTTTAACATATTTAGAAAACAATTGACGATGTTGCGAGTTCACAAAATAATCGAATAATTGTAAATTAAATCTAGGCTGTGTATTTTTCCAGATTGGAAAATGAATGCGGTCTTAATGGAATCCAAGAACCTAGTTTTTTAAAACTAGTATTTTTATAAAACAGTGTTCTTAGTTCATATTAAAGTTGGATTCCATATATATATTTTTCTTCGTATAAATTTCTATGTTTCTACCAAAAATCAAGCGTATTTGACTGTTTTTACCCCGAACCGAGTAGTTTTATTCACTTGGCCAATTGAATAAAATCACTGAACAATGGTAGTTGGTTCCAGTTTTGCGCCTAATCAACGTGCTAGCCACGTGCAGTTTTCTGTGTTTTCTTTACGTGTCTAACACCTAGATATAAATCAGTTTCTCATTGAAGGCCGGATGGCCGAGCGGTCAAGGTGGCAACCCACCACTCTGGGGGACCCGGGAACGAATCCGGACGGGTCAAAGAATCCCCAGGAATCTTTCGGGGGGGTGGTCCGCTCAGATATGTCGGGTCCCGTCCCTCACCACCCGGCAGTCCCATTGTGGGCCTGGGCGAACCCATAATTGGTTTGCAAAAAAAAAGGCCCTCTTAGTGCCCACAGGGCGGAAAGAGTTAAAAAAAAAAACACATATATAAATCAGTTTCTCGTTGAAAGTTTTCTCGGGATATTCCCGTTAACAAATTACCTTTGTATTGCATAATTAATACAATTGGGTTTTTATTTGGCTGCGATTTTTCAAATTGCAGCCAAATAAAAACCCAATTGTATTGATTATGCAATACAAAGGTAAATTCCCACTGTCGTCCGTCTGGCCGGCTCGCTGTCCTTTCTTAATCTCGAGAACAGATTTAGATAGATGAAAATCAAGACCGGGTGTGGAAACCGTAGGGGAGGAGGCCCCGATATATACGAATTTTCCATACAAACCAGAAGTCACGTACAAGTATATCAATTCAAACGTTTCCCCCCGAAAGGTGTTAGATAGATAACGAACACGACTCTATTGTTAAAGGAAAATTATGATGTAGAGAGGCAAGCCACTACTAATTTGAGACGAAGAGTATATATATTTTTAATGAAATAAATAAAATAATTAATTAAAAATTGTAGCCAGGCATTGTGACAATGTCACAATAAATAATTGCTCATTACTATTATTATTAGCATTTTTACTGTAAAATTAGGCATAATTTTACTCACCTACGTCTGTATTATTGTTTAGAAAATCGTATAGCTTTTTAGATCCTAAAGTATAGGAAGTGACCATCTTTCCGGGAATAACAGTTTTGTATCGATTAGTAATGGCGCCGGAGTTAAATAGATCGACGAGTCCATCGCCGAACATTTCGCTGTGGATACCCAAATTGCGATGTTGTTTAAGCGAAACCAAAACGGCATCGGGAATCGATCCAACACCTAAAAAGCATTGCCAACAAATTATTCGTATCCACAAAACCTAGTTCATAATGCATCCACACACTTCATCTATCGTTGTTAATTAATTTGTAACTATTTTTCTTAACCCCTAGCCTGAAGCACTAAAAGAAAAAGTCCATTCGTTCAGTTTAAACTACACGATTTCAATGGGTGAAAAGAATCGAGTAGACAGCTATAATAGCAAACAATGCGATATTAAAAAATCCAGCAACGAGTTGCGTAACTTTTCAGGCGAAAAATATTTATGCTTAATATCTCCCGAACCAATGGTCCAATTTTTCTGAAAATTTCTAGTAACATTTCTCCCTGATATACAAACATTTCTGCAGAATACCAAAAGCTTTCAACAAAAGGCACAGAAGTTATTAAAAATCAAAATAGGTGAACAAAATTATGCTCTCCACACACTCTAACATCCATTCATACCGAAAAACTCCCAAAATGTTTTATATTTTTCGACGTTTCGAGGTCCCCGAGTCCAGTTTAGATGAAATTGAAACAGATAAGTATAGAGGGAAATAACTAGTAAATAAATATTAATCGTATCATATTATGAACCTGTTTATTTAATAAGGTCCGTTGCTAAATGTCTGTGAACCATATCAACGAAGATTCTGCGCCTAAATGTAACACTCTATTGACATAGCGCTGTTGCTTCAGATTTCTCTGCATCCAAACGACGAGCCATAATGTTTCGAAGGTTATATTTATGCAAAACCATTTGTTGTATCTTTCTGGCGTCCTCCCAGACAACGCTCTGATTGAATTAGTACAGCAAGTATCGCCACTGGACTCAAAGCCAATGGCTATACAAACAGTGCTGTTCGCTGATGAATTTCGATTTAAGTTCCAACCTGGCTCTTAAGAATTATGTAAGATAGCTTGGACCTATTCGATATCATTCCAAGATTTTGAAAATGAAGTTTTGAAGTTACATTTTCACACTATAAACGATCTATATGCAGGGGTGGAGAAACCTTTTCATGATAGGAGCTATACAATGCCCATCAGAAATATACGAGAGCGATCGCAACCTTTCTGGAATGCCTATTGGCGAGCCACATCTTATATATAGTTAAAATGTTGTAGTTTTCAATGTTACTTTACTGATACTTTTTGAATAACAAGTACACAATCATTTAACTCTTTCGACTTTATGAATATAATGTACCATAAGTTTTCAGTCGCCTGTTCGAAGATAAAATTATACTTACAGTCCCTGTGTGTGCTATACTATGTGATAGAAAACTTACAAAAATATATCTGTGTAAATACACTTATATTTATCAAGTTTATATAAAGAAATTGTATAGGCCTATTGGACCCTTATGTGGTCTGCCGTTTTTAACAAACTAATTTCAGTTCTACGGCTCGTACCTTTGTTTTTATCAATGTTTAATCGTATCGAGTGAAATCGATCCTTGTCAATCCTATAAGCTTAGTGAATTCTACGGAAAATGAGTCCATAATAATCGTTTTACCATGTAAAACAATCACAGAACTTCAGTATCTATCGGGATTTATAATACATTGGAATTATTTCGAATCTGGTTTCGAACAGGAAAGCATGAAATCTAGTATTTTAGAAAACGATCATTTAAAACAAATTAACCATTCTACGAATTAATCTATATATCCAGTTTACCGTTCGGCTAATTGTTCTCAGCATCCAATTAATTGTTAACGTACTAATAGTTCGCAAAATTACAGAACATGTCCAAGTTGCATTACTGTATTCTTATAAATCAAAACGTAACTAAAGTAAGATACTTTTTCTCACCTGTCTGAAGTGTCGCATCGTCATCTACTAAATTATCAGCAATTAATTTTCCAATTCTTAAATCTTCTTCCGAAATTTGCTTCCTCGGTATCTCTGGTAATTCGTGATGCCCTTCCACTAAGAAATCGAAGCGATTTATATGAACTTGGCTATCTCCAAACGTTTTAAGTTGGTTAGAATTGACTTGCGCTATCGGGAAAGAAGATAATTGCAATTTCATTCTATAGAAAACTTAAATACAGTCGACCCCCTATAAGATCATAGATACGTTCCATTCTTTAGGAAACCGATTTCTTACGAGTCCTTCCAATCATAGCCCGACACGTGTCAAGTTTACGGACTACGGCTGTTTGAAAGGTTTTCTTCCATAAAATTAATCGATTCTAGACTAATCCGACTCAACATTTCCAAAATACGTATATTTTTTGTGGGAATAATCCGTATAAACTACGCTATAAACAAAAAATTGTAGGATTACTTACCGAGTGTCACCATTCGACATTGCCATTGCTCAACATTGTTTTCGTCGCGGAACAGCTCAGCAAAGAGCGGCCGATTTCTAACAACTTATTTTTCTGTGAAAACTTCGTTGAACTTCGGAGACATCATTAATATAAATAATTTTAATCGCCGTTGAATAAGAAATGTTTCTTTCACAAGAAATGTATAAAATTACAGTACTGTATTAGACTTACGGTACCTAATTTACATACTGACAGACGATAGTTAGCGTAAAAATCTCCGTAGCGTGGCGCCACGCTAGACGGCGGAAATTATATATTTAATTATAACAAAGTTACAATAAGTTAATATATAATTATATATACAGTACCTAATTTATATATAATTAATATATAATTATATGTACAGTACCTAATTTATATATAATTTATATAATACTGTCCAGACGATAGAAATCTCTCCGTAGCTTGGCGCTACGGACGGTGGGAAAGTAGTTCGGCTGCCCGATGACGTTTTACGTAATTATAGGAGGTTTTTTACCTTTTTTTTACGAATACCGTCACAATTTTTTCGTAGTTTTATAGGAATCGTAATTATAGGGACCGTAATTATAGGGAGGTCGACTGTATTATAATAATAAATTCATACCTATAACGCATTTGGCACTTTCGACCGCTGCTCTAGTGCATCCCACGGAACCTCCTAACGAACAGAAACCTCGTTCGTCCGGTGGAGTTACTTGAACTAAAGCAACGTCAACCGGTTGTCGATGTAAGTACATCGGGACATCCGTAACAAATATTGGTAAATACATAGCCCTTCCGGTATTTACTGCGTGACGGATATTTGGACCAACGAAAAATGCATTGCAACGAAATACGTCTAGAAATACAAATGATCTTTTAAACAATAAAATAAAATGAAAGTGTCGAGGTGAAATTTTAAAAAACCTACCTCGATTTTCCTGATGCAAATATTCCAGATCTCCGTAAATATAGAAGAAATAAGTGATAAGATTATTAATTTTGGAAGCTTTGGCGTGTTGTATCGTTGCCGAAACGAGCTTTCGTGGAGTTGAATTTATGCCTTCCACGTATATTCTATCGCCTGTAATAAATGATTAAAATAATTTTTAAAATAAACGTTTGTTTCCGATAGATTAAGCAAAGCTTCAGAATAAAGTAGCGCAACACGGAAACTGTCATGTCGTCTTATATAAATTCAAATCACTACCTTATAAGGAGCTCTAACCGAGTTAAATTTATATCTTTTGGTAGCAAATAAGTCATAATGTGATAAGAACGAAAAAGGAATAGTTATTTTCCCGGCTGTTATATATAACGGAGGAAAAGTATGGCGATCGGTCAAAAAATGACCCCCCCGAAGATTTTTGGAGTCAGTACATCTTTGAAACGTCGAGATATGCAAAAAAATTCGGGGTTTTCTCTGTATGTATGAATGTTAGTGTGTGTAAGTGTGTGAGGGAAACGATTTTTTTCATCCTATTTGAAGCTTAATAATTCCTGTGGTTTTTGTCGAAAATTTCTGAAATTTTGCAGGAAGGTTTGTTTATTAGGGAAATTGATGCTGTTAAATTTTGGTGATTAAAGATCGAGGGGGTGGGGAGATAAAGGGGGTCGTGTTTATCTCCAGTAGGGTCGGACTTAATGACGATTTTACTCGTTAATAGCATTTACAATTTTTATTATAAAACTCATCCCTATCCTCAAAATTAAGCTTTTTTGAATTTTATAATAGTTAAAAATATAACAAGTTTTTTAAAAGAAAATTTCACAACAGATGGCGCCACCAAATGTTGCCTGGAAACTTAAGCAACTCGTTGCCAGATTTTTTTTAAATTTGACTTAGACAGGTGCTTATGATTTATACCGCGGGTCGACTACGTTAAGCATTAGTAATTTATTTTAATTATTAATTGAAATAAACGAATTAAATACTTTAATTGCAGATAATTACATAAAAAGAAAAAAGTCATATAAATAAATAAATAATGACTCACCAGATTTAATCACAGAAACGGCTTCTTCCGCGGAAGTCCATTTTGTTTGTTTAGGTGAACAGTAATTAGGATTTTGAGAATAAGTAAAATAACTGCAACTAACCAGCCTTTGACTTAATAAGGCGAAAGCGCGATTTAAATTACTTTCCGAATGTAATAAATTATTCGCAACACTTCTAAACGCCATCGAAGTATTGTACGAAACAACAGATCTGTGATAGACGTGTGTAAAAAGCGCTATATTTATAAACTAGTTCACTCGTTTACGAAATCTTATTTTGCAAACGATTGAACTAGTTTACTCCAGAAAGCCTTTTAGTATTTATTTCTATCCGATTATACAATTATCAGAGATTAAAATTTCAATAAAATACCAGTCGACCCCCCTATAACACTGTTGATTATTCCGTTTTATATGAATTCCATGTTGTACGAGTCACTTAGATTTTACAAATACTTGAGCCGTTCACAGCCCGGCACACGTATTTGTAAAATCTAAGTGACTCGTACAACATGGAATTCATATAAAACGGAATAATCAACAGTGTTATAGGGGGGTCGACTTGTATTGTGTAATAATTGTAAAATGAAAAAAAAACGAGTCTATTTGATCTCTTATCGTTAAGATAAGGTTGTTTTTTTTTTTATCAGTTCATTTTAGTATAGACAATTCTCGATAAGGTGAACTCGTTTGTGCCAAATAAAAAATATCACCTTATCGAAGAATAACAGAAATTTCTTTATTTAAATGAGACGGTAATTTTGACTCTTTTCAACGAGTCATAACATTTAGTTCGATTTCGTTTAATTTATCAAAAACGAATCGGGTAACATCAGTTTTATTATACATGTATTATGTAGCTGCTTCCGAGCCGGTAACTAACGTGACACAATAGAGAGGTTGCCGCCGACGTTTACAACGCAAAAACGTGTACGTCGGACGTTCAGCGCCGCCGCCTTTTAAGCCTAGAAGTTTGACAATGGCGTTCGGAACGTCGAACATGATTCCACTGACGTTCCAAACGCCATTGTCAAACTTCTAGGCTTACAGGAAGGCACGTACACGTTTTCGCGTTGAAAACGTCGGCGGCAACCTCTCCATTCTTATTCAGTAACATTTTCATCATTACTATGAATCGTATCGACTATCATATTTCGTGAAATGGTCTTTACTTGTTAATTCTTTAGAGAGAGGCAAATTACTGTCACCATTAATCCAGTGATGACTACCATTGTTACTTAATGAACTTAAGCCGCCATTTGCTACATTAAACCAGAGGAGGCTTAAATTTATTAAAGCTTAGATAAGTTGGTCCAATCCTGGCCGGCGGTCGAGAGGATAAAAGTCCTACCGAAGAACTTCTCGCCCACGTGTCCCATCGCCGTATATAAACAGACAAAATAAAATATCATCATTGAATGTATAATCGTGTATATTATCATAAAATCTTGGGTTTTAAAACAATTAACAATTAATCGTTTGGGCGAATTTGAAAGTTTGCAATTGTTTTTTTCAAAATTATATCAAATTTAGTTCACCTTATCGAATATTTTTAACGTTAACTGTATAGCAAATGTATGAAAATAGTTCACGTTATCAAAGTTTCACCTTATCGAGAATTGTCTGTAATAACAATAATACTGAACTGATTATCCACTTAATATTGAGGTTCTTACCAGTGGCCAAGCGGCCTTCCTACCTTGAACACTAGGAGTTAAGTCGTGGGTTCGCGCCTCGCTCGCTCGGATGGGCTATCCATGTGAAATTTTCAGGGTTTTCTCCACATCTGTAACTCCTAAATAATGGTAATAATGCGGTGACGTCATTACTGGTAAAGCGTTACCTGATGAACATAATTGAAACTAATTTTGGCACGCCTGAAAAAAACACGCGTTTCCACGTGCACTAAAAATGTTTACTGACTTTTGGATCACCCTGTATACCGCCATTTGTTTTCCACTTCTATGCATAAATGAAGCTTTATTTAAAATGTTGAAAATTGCTTTTCGAATACGTAGAAATTGACCAGTTCTTGTAAATTATTCTGTTTAAATCTAGAGTTTGCAAGTAAATTGGCATTCACAAAACCGAATAACCCAGATTCTTCTTTGCAAAGTTTCGGGGTGGACGATCTACCTGCAGTGTTTATGGTATAGGTTTCTTCCCGTCTTACTGGACAAAGATTTTCGAGATTCCGACAGCCGGAAAGTATTTTTATGGCGGGTAGAGGGATGACAATTTGTCCAAATCGTCTTCTTGGAGTTGGTTGTCGCTCCCTCTTTGGCCACCACACGGATGGCATCGTCTTCCGAGAGTTGAAACGGGAATAAACCTAAGAAAATCCCGTTCCCAAGGGAATAAACCCAAGAAAATCCCGTTCCCAAGGGAATAAAGCCAAGAGAATCTCTTGGCTTTATTCCCTTCAGTTTCCCAATTCGATCTTTCCATATCCGAACGTAATTGTTTTTATTACTGAAATTATAATGCCAAGATTTAGTGAAATTATTTACTTTAAATGAAATTTCTTAAAACCGATATAAGCATTGTATGACGATAAGAGGTTACTGCTTCTTATTGCTTCAAACATGTGCAGAGAAACATGATTTACAGGATGCAAAACGCGCAGAATTCTGTTACTGTATTTATTAAATTAAATGTTAGTTGAGTTTACTAAATCAAGAAACGTATATAAATGTAAAAAAATCATTTTATTACACTTAAAATTATAAATATAACACGTGAACACGAGAAAAAAGCCAAAACTTCTAATTTATTAATTACATATTTTATTGTATAATTAATATACATTAGAAAAATATTTTTGTATGTAGTAAAGTATATGTACTTTATTACATACTGCAAACAAAATGGCGCCGATTGCAACAAACACGGAAATACGTCGCTATCACGTGGTTTAAAATCTCGATGCTGATTGGACGAATCTTCGAAAAGCAGACGACAAAAATCTATCCCGGGCGATTGCGTCGTTTGCGCGCGCTTTCTTGTTCGGACACGTCGAACGACAAACTTTTAGAAGTAAAAATCTATTCCGTATCCAAATTAAATTTTTTATATAAGTAACGTTACGTTAAAAGAGAATATATTTTCTTGTAATAATAAATACGGATATAACCGAAACTAAAACATCTATCCGTCTAATCAGGAACGACGTCAGTTTGACGTCATTATTCATATTTTTTAATTATAAATCTCAAGATATGACGTCAAATTGACGTAAGATTACAAAATACCATTCAAACCAAACGAACAAACCTAAGTAATTTAGACTCATTCCACAGCAAATTTTAAAATATACTGTACGCTGTCAATCGATATAATTTTTTAAAACGGTTTAAAAATACGAACGTAATTAATACCACAGTTAACACACAAATACTCGTATGTTTATTTAAAAAAAGACAGGAAAAAAAGGGGGAAAAACAAAATGAAGTCGAACAATGCTCCTGTGATAAGTATCCAAGTGTTCTGGTACCGAGAGTGTCACGATTGGCGTCTGCGCCTGCGGTAGATCGTTTCGGGGGCGAAGGGCGAAGGTGGTCAAGGGTTTAATAAAAGAAGTAAAAATGACGCAAAAATGGATGTAATAAGGTACGAAGACAAACAATCTGGATTGTAACAGTGAAAGGAAGACAATGAAATAATGACAACAGTGGTGAGTGTCTTCCTTTAAATCATACCTCTCTATGACAGTGACATTGGAAGATGGCTACTGCGCCTGATCCAAAGGCTGCGGGTTCAGTACCTGTACCAGCCAACGAAATTGAACCTTTTTACCCCTCTCTTTCTCATCCAAAACTTACTTTATATCAATTCATTAAAACTACTAATCAAAACACAACCGAATTTTACATTTTTTACATTGTCATTTCCACATATCTACTTGTCATTTACAGTCAGATTATATATTATAAACAGTTTTACATATTACAAATAAATAAAACATATTATTAACTTTTATTCCTCCTTTAAAATACTTCGGTGGATGATAAGCCAACGTTTTATGTGTTATTTCCAATGGAATCGCGTTATATATTTTTTCTTTTCGGTTTTTAGTGTCTTCTGTTGCGGCGAATCGTTTTAATACCGACGAGAAGGTGTTTTTGCGTAGATAAAAAGGATCCTTTCGCAGTTTTTAACTTTTTTTTAACAAATTCTCTTTGTACCGGTATTCCGGATACGGTCTCGATTACGATTGAGAAAAAGCGATGTTATAAATGAATAAGTATATATGCCGTATATGGTCGAATCCGGTTATTAGCCCGGTCGATTAGTAGGACGAAATGTTCGAGAACGGAACCAAATCCTATAATGTGAGCCCCGCCGTTTTGTAGCTCCGGTCCCGATGCCTTGCTATTAAGCAGAATTGACGGTATATATATATATATATATATATATAGACTGCTTTTNGTGCAGTACACTGTAGAAAGTAGCATACCTTGGAAATATAAATACAAGTATAAAATGGTGTGACCAAGAGCAGTACATAGGCCGTAGTGTAACACTATGGAGCAGAAGTATGCGAGGACAGATGTACAATACACGGAAGTAGGAATATACAAATACATTAAACAGTAACTATGACATGACATTGCCGCGGAGAGGAGTTAACAAATACAGGTGTACCGATGGCAAAGCCAACACAATATAGAGGTAATTGCGGAGGAAGAGTCTACGTCCGTTACATATTAACCCGTGATGAAAACGTGGCCAGGCCGCAGGAGCGGGCCAGGCAAACAGTACAGATAATTGGGAAGAAGGTACAAGAAGAAAACTTAAGTTAAAATTATCTACAGAGCTACATGCATACGGAATTACAGTTGTTACAACGAGATACATCTCGAAATGCGATATATCCAATATACATAAACAGGAATATTTAGTACATAAGAAACCAGTTACTGAGTATTTATACACAGAAATCCATCAGCATGGGACAGAGCCCACTTACTTGGAAGGTGCTCTCGAGGAGGACCCTTCAGTTGGTGCTAGTCCCTTGATGAGTATTAGGAGGGTCAAGGGCTGCAGTAGATTTCAGAAAGTCGATAATGACACTGTAGATGTTTCGGTCTTTAAGCAACTTGCTGTGTGAGCAGGGCCAGCTGTAATTATTCTTGAGTACCTCGCCCATCAGCCTTATCCGTTGTTGCTCGTGGAACTTGCAATCC